CAATATTACGTACTTATAACTCAAAGTACTATATATACGATGTAAATCAAAAAATACAAATTAAAATACAAAGAAACACATGAAAATAATTAAAACCAAATTAGTATCTCAAATTATGGCTACAAATGATTACAATTTTATTTAAAAATTTTCTCTGGTAAGCTGCGAAGATAAGCCGTAATCGCTACCAGTTTATCGGTGTTACCGTGGGACCATTTAAAATTCGCCAGATTTTGAGATGACTTCATCCATCAATCCTCGTTCGCTATCAATCAAATTAAAGATTTTTTATACGTCCCTTAATCGACTTTTACGATACCTGTGAAACGATGTGAGCACAGCCTCTGTTATATAATGTTGATTTTCCTCTGTGATAAGCGAAAGATGCTGCTTCCAATTTCCTATTTGATTTCCCTCTGTCACTTCTTACGACACTCACAGGACGAAACGTTGTAGTGTATATTCTTATACAGATACTACAATTATATAATATCCGATAATTGTTATAACTTCATAAACCAAAAATGAATTTCTAATGTCCTAAGTTACAACAGGAATTTTAAAACAACCGTAAATATTTTCTTCATATTATCGTCCTGCGTCTTCAACGCGAATGGTATAGACTCCATCCACTCGCGTATCTCGAATACGTGCTCGATAGTGTTTGGTTTTTCGCCGAGCTTCCTCATAACACTCTTGTAAGCTAAGATCACGTCGTCCACCTGCAGACGGATCTCCTCTGCCCACATCGTGAGAAGCGCCTTCATTATGTCGGTGCGTTTTGTTACTAAAATTTGCTATAACACGAAAATAAGCAAAAGATTATAAAAAACCTAAGATCATCTTGTCTATTAGGATAATTTTGAGTAAGTACGCTACTAATGCTACCACATTTAGCATTACTTAATACATTTAAGTAGAGTATAGTATAATTATATACCTAATATAAGCAGAATAATTATGGGTTTAATTTTGTTTCTTTTCTAAATTTGGTATAATTTGAAAAGAGTTCAACCAAAAAAATTCTACTCTAATTCCAATAAAAAGAAAGCAGCAAGCGCATTTTCATTTATGAAAAGCTTTACATTGTTTAGCTTATACGATCGAAATAAGTCTCTTTTCTTCAATATAAAAAACATGATAGCTCCATGCTGCGGCTATGTCATGATTGTAGTACAAATGAGTAGGCTCAACCGGCGATAGACCACGCTCAGTTTAGTGCTGCAATGTATCGTATGATGAGTGTAGTGCACCGGAGACTGTTTTTACTAGAAACGAGGCATTCCATCTCAGTCCTCAGAAGTGACAAAGCATCTTCTTAATCGAGGATACGTGTAGATTTTTATGTGCCACAGAATTCATTTACCATCAGGTAGACTTTGTGCTCATTTGTTACATGGAAAAACTTGAATAAGAACTCACAATCGAAAGATCTAATATTTAATGACCATAAAGAGACACTATTGGCCACTTTACTCGTACAAAAAGTAATTAATAATCAATCTCAAGTTTCAACAAGAATCTGTTTCACGTAAGAAGTCCCGCGAAAATAAGCAAACCAAAATGTAAAGTATGATAGTCGAAAGCAAAATTTCATTTTTTTTGGTTAAGGGACTTTTTAAGTTAGAAGGACTATTTCAGTAGTTTAAACTTATTTCATGTTGTACAGTTATATTAGAAGTGTAGTGGTAGCACGAATGGATCGGCTCGACCGGGGAAGGACCACGCTCTCACAGAATACCAGCGTAAAATAGTAGATTAATGCTGCTGTGTTTCGTATGGTGAGTTAAGAGAACCGAAGACTTTTTTTACTGGAAACGAGGCATTCCATCTTAGTCCTCACGGGTGAAAACGCATCTACATTTTGATTCGTAATCGAGGATCGATGTAGCGTGTAGTATCTATGGGACACAGCAACCACTTACCATCAGGTGGACTGTGTGCTCGTTTGTCACCATATCCTAAAAAAAAATATCGCGTTCAAGTGAATATCATCCTATTCAGACCGATACTGTAACAGTCTATTAAAGTCCTCTTCTATACATAGGCCTCCCATGAACTGCCTCATAGGGGGATATTTTCCATTGTTACTGCGTTTGGCTAGCAGGTTGGCAACCCTAGTTTTTTTTTCAGTTTTTGTTAGGAATACGCTGCTACCCATCTCCTGATTTAATTGACTCTGTATCCTCTTACGACACCCACGGAATGATATTGGGTAGTAGATATTCTTACACCGTCACTACACGGTTCAAATCCTGTTGAGAACAATAATTTAATTTGTATATTACAGATATTCAGGCACTACTTTACCTTTAATGTATCCACATTGATTGAGAATGGGCCGATACAGATATACTGTGGTAGACGCCATATTAGATCTTGCTTGGCGTCGTAATGCACTTGGATCTCTTCTTTTGTTTCGGACGCTGAATGCTTCTCTTGACGAACATTTCTATTAAGGCAATTTTCTGATTTTTATAGTGTATATTTATTAGTTATTTCTACGTTTCATAAAATACTATTTTTTTAAACTTTTATATTTGTAGATCTGATCAGATTTAATGATAAAAATGCTTTTATTTTGGGCGACAGTATGGAGTAACGGATTACTGTCGTGAATAAGGTAGCTCACATGATAAAAATGACATAGAAAAAATTATAATTAATAACAATGTTTTGACGGACCCAATAGAAATAGCCTCTGCCTTTAATAATCACTTTATTAATTCGACGCACGAAACAACACACACAAAAACAAAAAAATTGCTAAACAACACTCATAACATCAACACTATGTTTCTCAAACCCATGTCGGAAAACGAAGTTAGAAGAAAGATAATGTCATTAAAAAATACTAGTTCTGCAGGCTATGATGACATAAGTACGAAAATTCTAAAAAATTGTATCGACGAAATAATAGGAATCTTGACCCATTTAATAAACCTATCATTTTCGTGTGGAACTTTTCCAGATCCATTAAAGTTATCCATTGTCAAACCACTATATAAAAAAGGAGAGAAACATATCGTCAATAATTATCGCCCAATAACATTGATACCTATTATGTCCAAAATTTATGAAAAGTGCATGTACAAAAGAATAATCGAATTCTGCAACAAATTTAATATTATAATTAACGAACAATACGGATTTCAAAAAGACAAATCTACTACGTTGGCCGTTTTTTCTCTCCTAAAAATAATCCTATCAAATTTAAATAATAATCACTTAACTACAGGGCTTTTCTTTGACCTGTCTAAAGCTTTCGACTTAGTTTCACACGACCTCCTGCTACAAAAACTTGAAAAGCTTGGGATTAGAGGGCCCACTCTTCAATGGATATCTTCATACCTCAGTAACAGACAACAATGTGTTACAATTATGAAAATAGATGAAAATAAGGATTTCATACCGTACTCGTCTGAATATAGACTCAATAGGTATGGCGTTCCACAAGGAAGTGTGCTTGGTCCTATTTTATTTATATTATATATAAATGACATTGTTAATATAACAAATCATAAATGCATATTATTCGCGGATGATATTTCAATAATTGTGACTTCTAATAAAAAAGATAATACTATTAATGACCATGAGACTGACATAAATAACACTATAGATAAATTAATTGAATGGCTTGACATAAACAATTTAAAAATAAATCTTGACAAATCTGTATATATACAATTCAATAAATGTAATAATAAAAAATATAATATTAATCTCAACATACCAAAAATAAAAGCAGTAACAAATACAAAATTTCTAGGAATAAATATAGATGAAAATTTTAACTGGAAATTGCAAGTAAACGATGTATCTACGAGATTAAATAAATTTGCATACGCCCTTAAACATTTAAAAAACGTTACCAACATAAAAACGGCTGTTCTGTCCTACCATGCATACGTCGAGTCAATACTGCGCTATGGACTTGTAATCTGGGGTAATAGCACGGATCAAAATAGAGCATTTCGCGCACAGAAAAAATGTATTCGAGCAATATGTGGGCTTAAACCAACTGAATCGTGTCAACTGGTGTTTAAAAAACTTGACTTATTACCCCTACCATGTCTTTATATTTATGAAATATGCATGTTTGTATGGAAGCATAAATATTTATTTAACACGGCGGATAATGTAAACCCTAGGATGCGGCGAAACCCATACAAACTCATATTAAGTGACAATCCTAGAATAAGTAAATATAATAAAAGCTGTTTATCTATGTGTGTACGTTTATATAACAAGTTACCAAATAATATTAAAATGTTAAATACTAGATTATTTAAATCAAAATTACTGGAATACCTAGTTAAGAATAATTTTTATAGCATTATGGACTATATTAATCATAAGTCTTAATGCACGATAAAAATCTTTTGCATGCTATGTTCTCTCTAGCAAAACATGTTGTTCGAATGTATATTTGTAAAATCTTTTTCATACCATGTTTTAAGCAAATAAATATATTATTATTATTATTATTATTATTATTATTATTATTATTATTATTATTATTAATCATGCCTATCACTAGCATTTGAAGCTTACTTGGATTCCTGAACAGTGGTAATAATATTCTTTATAAAGTTTAAGTTAATTAGTAAGTTTTATATAATATAAAAAAGAAAAGAAGAGATGCATGGTAGAATGATGAATTAAGAGAAGCTGTAAAAAAGAAGAAAAAAGCATGGTTAGACTACTTGGCCTCTAGTAACGATAAGCATATGAGAGAGAAGATGAAAGAAAGATATAAGCTGCAGAAAGTTCATGCGAAAACATTGATTGAGGAAGTACGTAAAAGGTGTAGAATAGAAGCTGACGAAAGGTTGTCGCACAACTTTAAGGAAAACTCCAAACTCTTCTGGAAAGAGGTTGGAAGGTCCAGGAGTGATGCGATAGCCTTAAGAATGAACAAAGTGCTTTCGAAAACCAATGACGTCCTCTCAGAAAAATCGGACGTCATGCAGTGATGGAGTGAATTTTATAGAGAAATGTATGCGTGTCATGATCTTAGTGAAGGATCCGGGGGTGACGCCGTGACTGGCACGCCAGACACGGACCACGATGACACTGAGGTCATCACCATGAAAGAGATTGAACGTGCGATTCAAAGTTTGAAATGTGGTAAGGCTGCGGAACTAGACAGAGTTACTGCTGAAATGGTCAAGCACGGTGGGCCTAGCGGCTGGGACAGCTTTCATCTGCTGTGCAATTTGTGCTGGCGGACGGGAGGTGTCCCGGATGATTGGCGATCCGCGGTCATTGTGTCTTTATATAAAGGTAAAGGTTCACATTTTGACTGCGGGTGCTATCGGGCGATCAGCTTGACCAGTTTAGCAAGTAAAGTTTACTCGAAGGTTTTGACACGTAGGATGCAAGAGAAATCGGAAAGATTCTTATGGGAGGCACAATGCGGATTTAGACCTGGAAGAGGATGCACGGATCAAATGTTTTCTCTCCGCATGATCACGGAGAAGCTTCTGAGTGTTAACCAGAAGATTTTCTGTACTTTTGTGGATCTGGAGAAAGCATTTGATAAGGTTATAAGGAAGAAAATGTGGGAACTGTTGCCGGAATATGGTGTGGATGGTCGATTGTTAAGGGCTGTGCAGTCACTTTACTATGACTGTAAAGCCTGTGTGCAGGTAGGGCATGACCTGTCACCCATGTTTAGCGTCCAAGCGGGCGTAAAACAGGGTTGTGTCATGTCTTCCTGGCTGTTCATACTGTATCTCGACAGCTGTTTACAGAAACTGAAAAATAGCTGTGCAGGTGGCCGGAGGCCCAAATCCCCCCCCCCCATCAACATGGTAGCGGAATCAAATAACGATCGACTACCCCAGGAGGGTACCAGCACCCCTGGAGAGTCCCTCGCTGAGCATCCACGACCATGTTTCTCCACTTCTGAGCGTGGGTGCTCAGGCTGCCCCGCGTATTCTGGGGGGGGGGGGGGCAAAATTCCGCTCAAGACTACAACTGCTCGGGGCAAACGGAGCAATAAGACCAAGGCGACCCCTGCCACGCTGTCCGTGAATTTCTGCTATATCAGGGGACTTCACTCTAACCTAAACGCCGACCACTACCATCTCGAGACGGCGAGGCCGGCTCTGCTCTTTCTGACCGAGACGCAGGTGTCCTCTCCGACTGATGTCTCGTATCTCTCCTACCCGGGGTACAAACTGGAACACTCCTTTGTGCCTCGGGCTGGAGTTTGCGTTTACGTCAGAGAGGACACCTGCTCTCGACGCCTCGGCAGACTTGAAGGTTCGGACCTGTCCATCCTTTGGCTACGCGTAGACAGCGACCACCATCTGCGCGTCTACGGGTGCCTCTATAGGTCCCATAGCGGTAATGCCGAAACAGACCGACTATTCGACCACGTCCAAATGGCTGCAGATTCGTTGCTACAGCAGATCCCCTCCGCAGAGATCGTGATCCTCGGCGACTTTAACGCCCATCACGCCGAATGGCTTGGTTCACGTTTAACCGATCAAACGGGGAGATCTGTTCATGATTTTGCCTTGGCATATGGTCTGACACAACTGGTTACTTCGCCTACGCGGATTCCAGATGTGGAGGATCATGCACCTTCCCTGTTGGACCTTCTGCTGACCTCTCAACCGGACGGATATCAGATTTCCGTCGACACCCCTTTAGGCTCCTCGGACCATTGTCTGGTCCGGAGTGTGGTTCCACTCACGCTGAAATTGCGGTTGCATTCTGCAGGCTGCCGCCGTGTTTGGCACTATAGGTCAGCCGATTGGGATGGGATGCGGTCTTTCTTTGCATCCTACCCTTGGGGGCGGGTTTGCTTCTCGCCGGACGATCCCAACGTTGTTGCGGATTCTGTTGCTGATGTGGTACTTCAGGGTATGGAACTTTTTATTCCTTCCTCTGTGGTGCCCATTGGAGGCAAGTCTCAGCCATGGTTTGGTCGCTCCTGTAAAATAGCATCATGCTATAAGCAGGAGTGCTACAAAGCCTGGGCTGATGCATCAGCGTCCCGGGATGTAAACACTAGCGCTCTAAAAAAGAAGTATAATTCCGCCTCTAGGTCCTTCAAAAGAGTCATTGCCAAGGCAAAGTCAGAGCACATAGGCAGAATTGGCGAGAAACTAGCTCACCTTCCTTCTGGAACCCGTGCATTCTGGTCTCTCGCCAAGGCTGTCCAGGGGAACTTCTGTCAGCCATCTCTTCCATCTCTGCACAGGGAGGACGACTCACTGGCCCATACCGCAAAGGAGAAAGCCGATCTTCTAGGCTCTTTCTTTGCGTCTAACTCGACTCTCGATGACGGGGCGAGTACTCCGCCGACCATCCCGCGGTGTGAGTGCTCCATGCCGGAAGTGCGCTTCACACAGCGCTCGGTTCGCAAAGCACTCCTCTCCCTGGACATCCACAAGTCGAGTGAGCCTGACGAAATCCCTCCAATTGTGCTGAGGACGTGTGCTCCAGAGTTGGCACCGGTTTTAACGCGTCTTTTCCGGTACTCCTACTCCCTAGGCGTAGTCCCAAAATCATGGAAGACGGCTTACGTCCACCCGATCCCTAAAAAAAGGCGACCGCTATGACCAGTCCAACTACCGGCCAATCGCCATCACCTCCTTGTTCTCCAAAACAATGGAGTACATTGTAAACTGACAGCTCATGAGGTACCTTGAAGATCACCAGCTGATTAGTGACCGCCAATACGGTTTTCGCCGTGGTCGGTCAGCTGGTGATCTTCTGGTCTACCTAACTCACAGATGGGCGGAGGCAGTAGAGTTCAAGGGGGAGGCATTGGCCGTTAGTTTGGACATTGCGAAGGCCTTCGATTGGGTTTGGCACAAAGCGCTTCTTTCGAAGCTCCCTTCCTATGGGCTTCCCGAGAAATTGTGCGATTGGATCACCAACTTTCTTGCAGATCGGAGCATCAAGGTCGTTGTAGACGGTGCAAGCTCCGATTGCAAGCCTATTAATGCTGGTGTTCCACAGGGCTGCGTGCTATCGCCAACGCTGTTTCTTCTGCATATCAATGACATGTTGCATACCCGTAACATTCATTGCTATGCAGATGACAGCACTGGTGATGCTCTTTACACCGGCCGAGCCAATATTTCTCGGGAAAACGTCTCCGAGTGCCGGGACAAACTTGTGTCTGAAGTCGAGTCTCTGCTGGACAGAGTCTCGGATTGGGGGCGACTGAATCTAGTCCAGTTTAACCCCCAGAAGACACAAGTTTGCGCGTTAACCGCTAAAAAGAACCCCTTTGACGTATCCCCTCAGTTTCAAGGCACTCCCCTTGTTGCCTCAGCCAGTATCGGAATCCTCGGCGTCGACATATCGAGTGACGTGCAGTTTCGTGGTCACTTGGAAGGGAAGGCCAAATTGGCCTCTAAAAAGCTTGGCATGCTCAGCAGAGCGGGACAGTATTTCATGCCGGCACACCGCCTGCAACTTTACAAGGCGCAGGTTCGGCCGCACATGGAATACTGTTCCCATCTCTGGGCTGGGGCTCCCCCAGTACCAGCTTCTTTCACTTGACCGCATCCAGCGCAGAGCGGCTCGAATCGTCGACGACCGAGTACTTTCCGATCGGCTCGATTCACTGGCGCTGCGAAGAGATGTTGCATCTCTTTGCGTATTTTATCGCATCTATCACGAGGAGTGCTCTGAGGAATTGTTCGGATTAATCCCAGCCGCCAAATTTCGTGAACGCACTACACGTCAAACGTCCCGATACCATCCACACCATCTGGATGCTTGGCGGTCCACCACTGTACGTTTCACAAGGAGTTTTCTTCCACGTACAACCTCTCTGTGAAATAGTTTACCACCGGCGATTTTTCCGGACCGATACGACCCGGGGACCTTCAAGTAAAGAGCTTACTCCTTTCTAAAGGGCCGGCAACGCACCCGCAATTCTCCTGGTGTTGCGGTTGATCATGGGTGGCGGTAGTCACGTAACATCAGGTGAGCCGCATGCTCGTTTGCCCCTTCCTCTATAAAAAAAAATTGGGTGACATTAAAGTTAATTGTCTGCTGTATGCTGATGATGCAGTGCTTATTGCACCATAACTGCAGGCATTAGTCACATGTATGAAAGAGGAATGTGAAATTAAAGGTCTCCGTTTGAATTCTTCTACGCTTTCATGCTGTCCAAAATGTACGAGGACTACCTTGAAGATTATGTATACAAACTGATGGCTAAACTAGGAAGTAAAATTTGTCGACTGTTCAAATCAAGAAATAAGGAAGAGAATACATCAAATACTGATCTCGTACCTTGCAACTCATCACAAGAACCTACTACAGAAAAACTTATAGTAGCAGATATAAAAAAAGATAATAGTTTAGATATAGTTGAAAAGAAAGACAATAGTTTGGATCTAGTTGAAAGTTCGAAAGTAAGTAAAGAAAAACCGTCCGAAAATTCTAACACGGACGTTAGCGTAAGTCAGTCCACCAGCGACCTAAAAGAGAATCCCAAAAAGCCAAGCGGAAATGCAATAATAGAGGGAGAAGAGATGACGAGAGTATAAACAGCATTGATCAAGATTTAAATAATTTAAATTTCCACATGATGCTGTTCTTTTTATGGTTGATAGTAACTGCTGTAAATATACCCGCTCTGTTAACATGGGTCAGAAATTTCAAGTACAGTATGGTGCTAAAATCTGATACTTCTTACCATACAGGTCTTGTGATGTCAGTATGTTCAGCTTTTGTTTGGCAAATGGATGGACCACGGCAAAAATTGAGATATTACGAAGCGCTATCTTCATTAATTTTTACAATGGCTTTATTTGTACTAGTCTTAGGCATATTTTCATTGTTTATTGTAAACTATTGTGTGACTCTGATATTTGCTTTAATAACAATGCAGCAGTTGTGGGATTATGAGGAAAAATCTAATGACGAAACTAATGATGTAGCTAATGATGATACAAATGATGCTCAAAATGAAAAAGTTGTTGAAGAAAGCCATTGTCAACAGAAAGAAAATAACTCACAATCTCAAAGTGATTTATCTAATGAAACACCTCAAAGTAGAGAATGTAAAGATGAGACGGATAAAATTAAGGAAGAGATAAGAGACCAAACAATAGAAGACTGTAACGTCTGTAGTGAAAATAGGATATACAATATTTTTAAACATCTCAGAGATAAATTTAGCTTTAATAATGATGTCCCATAATTATGCTAATTTCATTTTATAATGTTTGTTTATTCTTTTACCTTACCCTTTGACTTGAATTCAGAAGAACAATTAACCTGTGTTCAAGCGTTTTTCAGTTTGATTATAATTACATATTTGAGATTATTTTAATGTAATACACAAATATATTTTACAATTTGTAAAAAAAAAGAAAAAAAATACTAATAAAACTAAGGTTCTGGTATTTGAAAAAGGACGAAGAGAGAACGAAATGTGAAATATGGGTAAATCAGGAATGTGTAGAACAGGTAAATGAAATTGTATACTTGGGGAGTGCTTTCAGCCGGGATGGAAGATGTGATTTAGATGTGGACAGGCGTGTTGCTGCCGGGAACAAAGTCAATGGTGCCCTGAATGCGTTAGTTAAAAGGCAAGGCGCTGTGAAGAGTGCACGCCTTGCAATACATAACGCAGTATAGGTACCGACTTTGTTATATGGCAGCGAAACCTGGGTATGCCAGAAGAAGCATAAAACAAGTTGAATGCAGTGGAGATGCGATCTCTTCGTAAAATGTTCGGCGTTATCATAGCCGACCGAAAGCGAAACGAAGAGATTCGCAATATGGCAGGATTGAAAGATGACCTTATCACAAAAATTGATAGGGGCGTAATCCGGATGGTTTGGGCACGTTGAGCGAATGAGTGGAGACCGAATGGTGAAGAAAATATATAGCGCGAAAGTAAATATTAAAAGGTGTCGAGGTAGACCGAGACTAACTTTCGAAGACCATGTGAGCAAATTACTCGAAGAGGGGAAGGTCAAGAGTACTCGGATACCTAGACGTGCATGTATGAAGAAGTTAATGAACCTGAAAGAAGCGAAAGAGGTATGTAAGGATCGTGACACTTGGCGATCTTTTCTCTCTGTCTACCCCGTTAGGGATTGTGCGTGAATATAAGTAAGTTTTATATGGTAGAAATATAAAAACACTCACGCCTGTCACCCAGAGGGGTAGGCAGAGACTACAGACTTCCATTTAGCACGATCCTGACATACCTCTCTCGCCTCTTCCACATCCATATACCTACGCATACATGCTCGTCGGTTAAGGGTACTCTTAATTTGGCTCATTTTTAGTATATCGCCAATTTGGTCGACAAACTTCCGCCTAGGACGTCCCTTTCCGACTCTTCCGTTTACTTCTGCAACATATATTTGCTTTGTCAGTCTTTCCGCATTCATTCTTTCTACATGACCAAACCACCGAAGCATTCCTTTCTTAATCCTGGTCACTGCATCATCTTGCAAACCACACTCTTCTTTTATCACACAGTTTCTCACCCTGTCACTCAGATTCAGCCCTAACATACTCCTTAGCGACCGCATTTCTACTGCATTTATTCTACTCTCGTGCTTCTTCTGCCACACCCAACTTTCACTACCATATGTTAAAGTAGTGACTAATACAGCATTGTGAATTGCCATACGTGCCTTTTTTGACACATTCTGACTTTTCACAATAGAGTGTCGAGCCCCATTTACTTTATTTCCTGCATTCACTCGTCGTTCAATATCCTTATCATATCTACCATCCCTGCTGAATACACATCCCAAATATACGAACTCATCCACTTGCTCAATTAACTCTCCTTCTATTCTTATTTCACTTTACTATTTACATACATTTTATTATTTTGTATTTATTATATGGTAGAGCCATACTGCAGTTAGTATTAGTAGTATAGTTGTAGCATGACCCATTCGTGCTACAACTATACTACTAATTATCAGTTTTTATGGACTGATAAGGACATGATAAATAAGTAATTTTAAAGTCCAAATATTACTTTTAGCAGGAGTGGCAAAACAAATTTATACTACAGAAATGGGAGGCGGAATTGGCAAAAAATGGATTTGAATCTAGATTCCGCCTCGATATAAATCTAGATTCATGTCTAGACGGAAGTTTCTCGACCAAACTTGGCGATAAATCGAAAATGGGTCAAATTAAAAGTAGTAAAAGTGATAGAGCCACGCTGCAGCTATATTATGGTTGTAGCACGAATGGGTCGACTCGACCGGGGAATAACCATTTGCTAGTACTGCTGTGTTTCATATGGTAAATGTAGAGATTCGGAGATCACACAATTCGCAATCGCAGGGATAATAGTAGGTTATGCGCAGTTGGTTCAAGAACGGCATTGATGCATAAAAGTATTTTCTGTCTGGCGCCAATAATATACAATAAAATCCCCAAACACATCAAACAATTGTCTACCAGACTTTTCAAGCTACATCTTAAAAAATATTTGATAGCCAAATGTTATTAGAGCTTGTCTGATTTCTTAAGTGATTGATTTGTTTAAAGCTAAATTATGAATTGCGACATTTCTCTAATTCAATTTTACGAGACGCCATTGAAATTGTTGCACATCTAAAATTATGAACGTGGGTTAGTTAATTTGTCTTGTAGAATAATTAATATATGTAGTATAATTTTTGTACGCCATAAATGGCAAAACATGTAGCTCGTTTTAAGTTTTTTTAACACCTATATTTTTACTCATGTTTTACAAAATAAATATCTTTATCTTTATCTTTTTTGCTGGAAACGATGCATTCAGTCTTAATCCTCAGGGGTGACAACGCATCTGCGTTTTGATTCTTAATCGAGGATATAATATGTAGACGTCTATGGGCCACAGCACCCACTTACTATCAGGTGGACTGTGTGCTCGTCGTTACCCTTATTCTATAAAAAATCGTTAAACAAAGGGGATGGATGCGTAGCACTGACCTCTATATATACAAGTACGCTGGACTGTCTATACGATACAAAATGTCTATACCTATTTGAAGCACCCCCAACGGTCGCCTTGGAAACTAAAATTGAAATAAGTCTGTTGCCTAATTTAAATTGTCATATTTAAAAAATCTGTATTTTGAACTTTTAAACTAAAAAACGAAAGTATTTTATGTTGTTTGGTTGTGTATAATATTAGTTATATAATAAGAATTATTTTTAATAACAATGAGAGTGTGCGTAATCTGTAAAACTCGTTACCAAAAGTGAAATGGTACAACATTTCACAAGTAAGTGAATTTACAGCTAATATTAAACAAATTAAAACTATTTTATAATATAAGTACTTAAAATTTGTTACTAATCTTAATATCATATATACCAAGATAAACTACTGAGTTTTGATAAACAATAAAATTCAATAGGGTTGTCGAGTTCCTTGTCTATAATACTTATCGATGTTCTTTCCTACCCATATCTGTTAACAAACAAAGTCGCCAACAACAGATAATTAACAAATGTTTATTAATTAACAGAACCGATCACTATGACGATAATTATTAACCAACTGAACCTAAAGTTATGGCTTTAAAGTATAAATATTGTGAATTGGCGTCTGTAACAAAATGATCATATTAAATATGTTCTGTGAAATGTTCAGAACAAATTTTGTTCTGAACATTTCACAGAGGACTGTTTTATTAGACATGAGAACTGCACCACTTTGAAAAAGTGCAGTATTTCGATAATATTTTCTGGTAGTACCAGTACCAGTAAGCATAAAAGTAATAGATTATTATTCCGATTGTTTTTTTTTTATTTCTTCTTTACTCATTTTCCCCCAAACACAAGGGCCATAGCCAAGTGTCGAAAGGTCGCCTGATGATGTCGAGCAACGTTGGATGTGTGTTAGTGGGCTGCGGCTAGAGGAGATTCCTCTCCCTGTACCGCTGTAGTCGAGGTGGAGTCGTCAGGGAAGAGGAGTATTGGTATGGCGATTGGCGATGTGATGCCACTCGACTATCTCTCGCGACTTTGGTGAGGCTGCACCACTTGATGCTTCCAAGTGCTCGTTTTTTCCTGACTCCATTTACATATCGGGCTCGGGGAGTCCGTAGTGCAGGTGGAGACAGAGTCCGCGAAGGGCAGTGTGCCTTGTGTTCCTGGTGTGCCTTATCTGAGAAGAAACCATTTTTCTTCTTCAAGAAAGCTCCCCCAGCACCGCAGGGGTCGCGAATGTGCATGAAACCGTTTCCGTGGCCCTGTTAATTTGCGGCGGAGGTAGAACACCATGAGGTTTTAGTAAGTGCGGGTTTAGAGATTTAATTCTCTCTCGAGTCTCAAGATTTAATTTTTGCTTTAACTTCGTATTTGCCCTACTTTAGTTTATTTCTTATTTACAAATTCTGGCCATCGTTTACATTCATGGTTTTCAGCTTCCTCTTCCGCAACATACATCAACAAAGACAATTAAGTGTTCGATCAAGAACCCATGGATTGCGGTATGTCAAGCCCCCTAGAATACGTGGAACTGCTTAAGCTGGAAAGCTTAGGAGGATAAACTTAGGAATGAGGAAATCGGCAGTAGAACCAGAGTGACCGACATCGCCCAATCGATTAGTAAGCTGAAGTGGCAATTGACCGGCCATATAGCTCGAAGAACCGATAACCGATGGGGAAAAAAGATTTCCCGAGTAGCAGCCTCGTACCGGCAGGTGAAGTATCGGAAGTTCCCCCACTAGAGGAGTGAAAACCTGGTAAGACATACAGGAAGTTAATGGATGCAAGTGGCTCAGCACCGTGCTTTGTGGCATTCCTTGGGGAAGGCCTATGTTCAGCAGGCATTATATTAATATGATACATAAATAGAATGAACGTTACGGCTAAAGTCCATCTATCCATAGTATCCATTCTATTTATTTAGGTATAGGTATAGGAATAGAATTTTTATCGATATATTTTGTCACACTATCTTATCCCTATTATTAGTTCCGTGGACGTGCACTTCTGCTGTCAGCGCCAAAATGGCGCAAATCAAATTGCCTTATCATGTCACGGTGTATAGCCAGTCCAGCGTACTTGTATATATAGAGGTCAGTGATGCGTAGATATATATGTCAAAGAAGTTGTGAGTGCTGGGTCAGGGTCGTGCCAAATGAAAGACCTAAGTCTCTGTCTACATCTAAAGGTTTTTAATATGTTTTTAATGTAGTTATTTAAATACCAATAGATATCACAATTTAATTGCATACATATGCAATGAAAGTGTGATATTCATACATATGTGCATATTTCATAAGTACATAATAACAACTTGATCTACTGCTACTGATGTGAATTGTTACGTGTGGCAGCATAAAATACGATAATCCGAAGCTCATCCGCTGAGTTTCGTGAGACGCAACTTAGCGATACACCCGGAACATCTTGTAGTCTCATAAAGATCATTACCATCATCATTAGAGACCTTAACAAGTCCAATGCTGAACATAGGCCGCCCCCGAGGAACGTTCCCCGCCCCGAGGAGCGTTCCTGAGCCACCTGCATTCATCGACTTCCTACATATCTGCTGGTCGTCAATGTAGCACCGCTTACCGGTACCTACGAGGTTACCACTCGACTACTTTTCATCCCCATCGGTTGTCGATTCTCGGAGCTGTATGGCCGGCCCATTGCTACTTTAGCTTGTTAATCCGTTGGACTATTTATATAGATATTGGCATAAATATCTTCTATTTATTTTTTGCACAAATATAACAGTAACAATTGGTAACAATATTACAGTCACAAAGTCTGTCGCTTAAGTTCAAGAAATAAAAACAGAAATCAGTATATCTAAAGTGCAATAATTAGCTTTGATTAGTAGTAATTACTGATGAAAATACCAAAAAAAAATATTTACTCGACATACTCCTCGATGCTCAACATGAAAATATCTCGGTAGCCTTCGTATTGGCGCATGTATGCCTTTAGTGGTATAATCGCCTTCCTGTATGCCTTCAAAAGTCTTTCTCTGTATTCCACCACATTCAGTTCCAGAAGACCTGTTGTCACCATTATTCTGTTTCAAAACTTTTACAAAAGTAAAAATTACCCTACAAATTGTTCTACTATTCTGCACAGACCTTTCATTTCTGAGGAAAACAGGCTACAGCCACTACGATACTGAATGAATAAGAATTACAAAACTTCGTATTGTCTCGAATTATTTGTTACAAGACAAGTTTCCTCGTGACGTTTCCCTTCATCGTTGAGTACGTGGACACAGGTGGTGTAAATATTTTTATACAGTTTCATATACAAAGACTAGTGCAGCATTGCATACGGTACGCAAACCTGCTACACATGCAGTTATCCATTCGTTATGAACAACATGCATTTGCTTTATCATATTAAGCGAAAAACAGTTTCAACAGAACCAGCGAGAATAGAATTACGGTTACACACATATTATAAAATTTAGGGTAAGCGCTCAGCTACTGAGCAAGAGCTCTAAACTTTTAGTTTTTTTTAAATAATATTAGCTGGACAAACAAGCTGTCAGTATGCCCGATGATAAATGGCTAATTTAGCCTATAAAGTTACAGCCTATAAAGCACAGCCTATAAAGGCACAGGCCTCCTCTCATACTGAGAGAGTTTTAGGACAAGGAAGTGTCCGCCGCGCTGCTCCAATGCGTTAATGTTAAATTATAATATTTTATTATCGTATAGTATATAGCTCACAATATATCTTCAATATAAAATAATGTATTTCTGTATAATGCTTTTAGTATTTCCTATCAAACTGTAGAATATGTAGCACTATAGAGAAATCACGAAATAATTGAAGATGTTTTGTGAGTCATTAGAAATAAACCGTTCACGTTTTAAAAACGTATAAATAATAATAATGACGTCAACAATATAAATATATTCAAAATCAATACCTATATAAAAACTAAAACAATCAAAGCTTTCATTACAATTCAAATAGTTCGGTTTTGACAACAATATAATATTTTTAAAACTGTTATAAAACCATACCTATAGACGTAAGAAATAACTCCTTATCGAAAACCAGACCCGTCATTATCATTGGATGCACTTGAGGGATGAAATGACAACGATATAACATCTCACGGAATAATCGCTGAATAACTATCTGCAAAAAATTTTTAGTAATTCGGCTACGTCAAATCAAATCTAATACAATATATTTATTGTGAAACATAGGTTACAAAAATCGTATTATTTAAACTGATATGTGTCCAGTCCGCATTGGACGTACAATATTTAAAAAAATATATTATGTATCAATTTTTATTATATATATATATATTAATTACTATAATATACATTTAAAAAAATAAATTTAATAAAAAGCCAGCAAGACTCACTTCAAACTGCTCTGGCGGTGTAGTATAGTAAGGTCCGTCAGCGTTCATCATTAGATGAAAATAGAACAACGTGGGGGACTGACAGCGAAAGGGCGAGTTGATGAGATCCTCCGAGTCCCACTCGTAGTCATCCTCGCACCAGTATGTGCAGAGACACGGCGTCTCGCAAAGGTTCACGAACATTGACATCGACTGTTCTATACAATAGCGTAGGGCATACTGCAAATGTGGACATCACATGATTCATGAAGCTGACGTCACCATCATCAGTGATAGTAAAAAAACGATTAATAAATTTAATAATAGCGTTAAAAAATTGGAGTTTCAATAATGAAATAAAGATTTTTTATATACGTGGTAGAGCCATGCTGCAGCTATATAGCAGGAATGGGTCGGCTCGATTGGATCACGCTCTCACAGCATACCAGCGTTAAACAGAAGCTTAGTGCTGGTGTGCTTCGTATGGTGAGTGTACAGAACCGGACACCCTATACCCCGGAAAGTAGTACCTTAGGGTTGATAACTCATCTGCATTTTTCTTAATCATCGGGGATAGATGTAGATGTCTATGGACCACAGCATCGGCCATACAATCAGGTTGACTGTTCTTTGTTTGTCACCCTTATTCTTTAAAAGATATTCTGAACACAGATGTATCATCTGTGTTCACGCCGTTCACACATTTGAACTTTATTATAAATATAGGTTTCGTTTATATAATAATTATATTCTAAGTCATACGTGTAGTGTTAGTAAGATTTATAATTGTTTAAAGATACTTTCACCATATAAATATCATACATAAAGATCAGTATAGATTGCATAAACATTGTGAATTATACTACCAATAGCAATCCATTACGTTTTGTAACAGCCAACGGACATACATTTTGTACTTTCTTTTACCTTTCGACCCCAAAACTGTTAGCACGTCCTTAAAATATAATATATATATATATATATATATATATATATATATATATATATATATATATATATATATATATATATATTTTTTATGATACTATAATCTATCGTTTCTTTGTACAATATCGTACAATCTGTATTCATTAATATTCCGGTTAGATTTATTGAATTATACACTAATAAATAAATAAATTACCTGCATTCGAAAACGAACGAGCTGCATGAATCGGCATAATTTGCTGACCTCATAGAACTGCCACTTCTTTTCGTATATATTGAACCAACTGTGGATCACAAAAACAAAGAAGTGAATCTAGTAGACGATGACAAATCGGATAACATTATATATCAATAACAGAAACGTGTCAAATGCATTAAGTAATTCCTTCTGTATCTTTTTTAATAGCATTGGGTGACAAACAAGCATATAGTCCACCTGATGGTAAGTGGATGCTGTGGCCCATGGACATACATATTTATCCTGAGGACTAAGAAACACAGCAGCATTACTCTGCTATTTTACGCTGGTATTCTGTGAGAGCGTGGTCTTGCCCCGGTCGAGCCGACCCATTCGTGCTACAACTAGCTGTAGCGTGGCTCTACCACTTGCAAAAATAATCATCACTTTAAGGTAGAAAATTTATTAAAATAAAATCGGCCTACTAATCAAAAGAACGATCCATCACAATATAGTAACGTAAAGCTTGAATGATGTACCTGTATAATGTACTTGTTTTGATATATTTTTCTCCCAGAGTTGACTAGCAGGGAATACCATTAGGTTTTAAGTGCGCCCTCAGTAACCCTTAGCTAACTTGATTACTGTTATCGTTACCATTATAGCCCATCAAAATACCCTACAAAACATAGGCCTTCTCCATAAATGGCCTTATGAGAGTTTGCCATTGTTGCCACATTTGGCGGATGGCTTGGCGACCATATTTTTTATTTGTTGTTACTAAAAAGACGTTGGTGCCCATCTTCTGCTTTGTTTCCCCTGTCAGCACTAACGACACACACGGGACGATATGGAGTAGTAGTTATTATATCACCGTTGTATAACTTTATTTCGTTTTTACATTTCTGTTTTTATTATTGATTTACGTCATTTAACTTACCCCTTTCCTACATCCCTAAATGACATCCTAATAGCGTGAGCTGTATTGTTTAACCAAGTTATGGTTAGATACTTCAGCATCTGTAATGAAAAGTATATATTCGTCTTCAGCAATTTCATAAACTCCTCTCGTCGCGGCTCTTTACAAGAGCATACTATGAACATACTATGTATAAGACACGAAGAAAATACACCACAGCCACTACTACGCCCACTCAACAATCTTTTACGGCGCGCATACACCTAATCCGTCATCGGCCGAAGTTTGCTCGGTCGACGATGGCCGAACTCGAACGATCGAATCAAACACCTTGGAACAAAGAGAGCGCGTACACCAACACGATTGCAACGTCCGATGACGCACGAAAAAATCCAATCATACCCGTACACGATGCGTATATAAATCATACTACAATCCTTCATTCACAGCTGACCGTAAACCTTCCACCATAGATTGTCACAAAGTACGGTCCTGAGGCACCTGTATCCATTGACTGTCTACGTTTCATCAGGTCGTCAATCCGTCGGGGGTTGCCCAACACTGCACTGCTGCTGTCTTCTGCCACACGAGAACCTTTCTTTGAACAGTTGTCGGTTCTGTGAGCTATATGGCCAGTTCCATTACCATTTCAGCTTACTGATCTGCTTGGCTAAGTTAGTTTCTCTTGTTTTTCTGCAGATATCCTCGTTATGGTCTTTGTTGTGTAGAGAATTTCCGAGCATATCCCTTGTCCTTGTCGTGTGATACACGCTGAGTGACTTCGACCTTTCTCATACAGCCAGCAGTAAATCATCACCGTTCATGCCATATAAACCATCATCTTTCAATATGTGTACTATTACGGTACTATATAGGTATCTGCTCTATGAGTTATCGACTGTTGTCCATAACCCATAGAGCAGATAACCACCTCGTTGGTCGTAAATCCTGGGTTCGAATCCCGGGTCGGGCCGAAATTAATTATTGGGTTATCTATTAAGAAATTCTCAGTAGTAGCCCGGAATCGGGAGGTTGGCGGTCTTCCACCCCCGTGCCTTGAAAAGCACGTGAAGCTTATGGTCCTATCGGACTATGAGAGTGAGGGAATAGAGAGTGTACCTATGCTTGAACATATACTTGGGCACTATTATCCTGTCCTGCGCAAATGGCTACTCCCCGTTGAGACCGGCCGCAGTGACCTTAATTCGGCCTTGGAAGATTTTATTCTATGGGTTGCAGCAAATTTATTTTTCGAAAGATACGTCAGGAAGCGCTTAATGTCGTTGTTGTCATAATTGTTTACATTAAATTACCTTAACTGTAACTATTTAAAAGTGTCTGTAAGGGAACTACTAATCATTGTTATTATTATTTTGGGCAGAGAAGCACTGTGTTCATTGGTACATGCCAAATATTCTCGCATTGAATCCGCCGTTGTTCCAGTCATGACCCGCTATGGTATCGCCCGGTAACGGAACGATCTAGTGGTGGTTCACACAGTTCACATGAGCACGGTCACGATATGTAACGTTGTAGTGAGAGAAACCTTATGTGTACAAACAGAGATTTTAAGCTACCATTTGTGTGCAATGCTGTTGAGCCGCATCAAATTCAGGGAGCCCCACATTCCTGCCGTAGTTCGTCGTAAAGAACAACATTGATTCCACCTGAAAAATAAAGTTATTTAATAAAACATCTACGATGCGGTTATAACAGTTATAACTATAAATACAAATAGTAAAAGTACTGTAGTAGTTATAGAATACTGTAATACACAATATAATGGCTGTCAACCTTATTTTATACGATAGGCGTCGCCGGGAGCACACATACAAGCAATAACGTCGTATTATCTGTTAATCACTACTACAAACCCAATTCCCTGTGTTGACAGACAGATTTTAATACATATTTATTTTTAAATAGCGTGCAACATGGCATTTTCTAAATAATTTACATGGGAAATTTGGAAACACACGAGATGTGTTTACACGTGTGAATTGACGTGTTAGTGACTTTTAGTGGCTACACGGGCTCCGTCCACTCCCCCGTTCCATTATGTATATATTATAGTATTCTATGGTAGTAATAGAAAAGGTAGTTTCTTATACCACAGCATAAAAGGTATTTGAATAAGTTTAATTTTTAAAAGTATAAGGTAAAGTTAAAGCCTATATACGTCCACTCCAGGGCATAGGCCTACATTTTTTCTCAGATTTTGGAGCAATAAACTGTCCGTCACGCTGCCCCGTGCGTGTTGGTGGACTTCACATGTCTTCGATTTAGTTTTATTTTAATTTTTTAGTCATACATGCATTAGAACTATGTTTTCCGAGTACCGAGCACGTAGTAATTTAGCACTTAAAATTGCAATTAACAATTTCATTGGTGCTGGCGAGGATCGACCCGAGTTGCTCACGTGCTGTGAAATTTACTCAATTTAGCTCCTGAACATCACTACCACTGCACTTATCAAGTACTTTTATTCTAATACAAGCATCTCTTTACATTTTTATAGAATTTATTACGGGAAATTTTTCAGAGTAATTCCAGCCGCCAAGTTCCATTAATGTAGGTACACTGTGATACAATTACAAAGTTTACCTGCATCACCTGTAATAAATATAACTTTATGGATTACTACTAAAAATTAAAAAAATTCGGTTGCCGACCCGTCTGCCAAGCGTGGCAATTGTGGCAAATATCTCGCCTATATGGCAATAGGGGAGTCCTATATTCTGCTGCGGACTTTAACAGGCTGTAATCATGATGATGGTGACACATATAATTTATAGTTAGTGCGTCAGTTAATGTTTCTATATAAGCTAGTAACATACGTATGTATATCTTCATGTTACGCCTAAAGGTTTACAATGTTGTTTCGCATTCATGAAAAAAGTTTGCGAATTTAATTTGATATATAATTATATAATTTATGTAAATTACTTATTTTTAAATATACCTCAGAAGACACAAGTTTGCGCGTTAACCGCCAAAAAGAACCCCTTCGTCATATCTCCTCAGTTTCAAGGCACTCCCCTTGTTGCTTCAGCCAGTATCGGAATTCTCGGCGTCGACATATCGAGTGACGGGCAGTTTCGTGGTCACTTGGAAGATAAGGCCAAATTGGCCTCTAAAAAGCTTGGCGTGCTCAGCAGAGCGGGACAGTATTACATGCCTGCCGGCACACCGCCTGCAACTTTACAAGGCGCAGGTTCGGCCGAACATGGAATACTGTTCCCGTTTCTGGGCTGGAGGTCTCCAGTACCAGCTCCTTCCACTTGACCGCATCCAGCGCAGAGCGGCTCGAATCGTCGACGAGCGAGTGCTTTCCGATCGGCTCGATTCACTGGCGCTGCGAAGAGATGTTGCATCTCTTTGCATTTTCTTTCGCATATACAATGGGAAGTGCTCTGAGGAATCGTTCGGATTAATCCCAGACACCAAATTTCGTGAACGCACTACGCGGCAAACGTCCCGATACCATCCACACCATCTGGATGCTTGGCGGTCCACCACTGTACATTTCAAAAGGAGTTTTCTTCCGCGTACGATCTCTCTATGGAATAGCTTACCACCGGCGATTTTTGCGGACCGATACGACCTGGGGACCTTCAAGAAAAGAGCTTACTCTTTTCTAAAGGGCCGGCAACGCACCTGCAATTCCCCTGGTGTTGTGGTTGATCATGGGCGGCGGTAGTCACTTAACATCAGGTGAGCCGCATTCTCGTTTGCCCCGTCTTCTATAAAAAAAACCTGGCGATCACCCGGTAGGTGGCGTTGTGTGGAGATCGCTAGTGGAACTATGCCTATAAACTTAACGGAAGTGCAAGCAATATGATGACAAAGTTTTACCACAATCTGATGAATGGTATGGCAGCGCATTATATATAAACAAACAAATATTATTTTTTATTTAAATAATTTTTCTTATATAAATTTATGTTAATTTATCTTTTAACATTTTACACACCTACTTCATATTTTTGTCCCTGCACCATCTAAAGGTTTAGTGGTAGAGAATGCTTCCGACAATAGGTCCGCCTATACCTAATGCTGTATGAAGATAAATAAACAAATAAATAAAATAAACGTACCTTAAGACACTCTTCAACAACCAAATGTATGCATGAAACGGACTCGGTGAGGACGTACAGCGAGTACCACTGGTTATACTTTACACGGCCAAGAAAGTCCTCCATGACACACTGCAGTCGTCCTAAGGGAATAGCAATAGGTATTGTTTCTCTAAAGAAAAATACGAAAATTTTGTCATTTCATTTTAGACTTCAACCGTTGTTGACGTTGTTTTTTTTATTTGTTTATTTATTCGTTACACGTGCACTTGCGTGTTGAACGTTACGCAATAAACATATTGAGGGTCTCTTAACGGTATAAAAACTATCCTGTCTCTCAAATTAGAGCAAGCAATACGCATTTACAAATTCCGGTTTGAAAGACTAAAGGTATTAGGAGTTTTTACATTTCCGGGCCTCCGGATCTCCACAAAATACATACTACATAATTACTACAAAAATTCTCTTAATCATATGAAACACAGCAGCTATTTGCGATGGTATTCTATGAAAACATTGTCCATACCCGGTCGAGCCAACCCATTTATGCTACAATCATTATATAGCTGCAGCGTGGCTCCACCACGTATTAAAACTACCAACCATGAGGTGAACTGTAAGTTTTTTGGTTACTTCAATTTCATAATCATCATCAGAAATCATCAGAATTATAACCAACAGGTTGCAACCCGTTTAGTCTGTAAGACGACATAAAAAAAGTTACCGTATTCGGGCACAGGGGGCTCGTACTCTTTGGATGGCGGCCGAATGAAGTTATACATTTCAGGGTATTTCTCTATCATGAAAATCATCTTCAACTTTCCTTCCATTTTTCCGTATAACAGTTCCGTCTGAATGCAAAAGAGGATTCATTTAATCGTTGTCTAAGACCTGTATTCAGAGATAATCTAGAACTTAAGCTCATAATTGCCCGTAGGCCTGTTAGTGGCGCCGGCGGAATAACAGCACTGCAGCAGTACTGCATAAAATGTCAAACATAAAATGTCCTTTTCGTTACTGCAATCCATTAAATTATTTATATTTAACGTACTTCTATTGTTTCGTAGCGACGAATGAAGTTTATTCCTCTTCTTGTTCTTAAAATTCAGAATGTTAAAACTTAAACCTAGACTAAAATTCTGATACAAAATTTAGACATTGTGAAATTTGTGTTTAAACTCGAGATTGTATCTGAATAATGGCTGTGTGGTGGCGACGTAAGGTGTTCCGTTCTTCCCAGGATTGAAGACCTCGTTATCGTTTTTAACCCCCATGCTGTTTTTCAGAGCTCTGTGTAATTTAAAAACTTCAGAAATACTATTAAAACATGGCGTATATAAATGAATAGCTACAACATTCTCTTAAAATATATAAGGTGTATTTTACATTAGTCTCAACCAATAAAAGCCCCTTCCACCATTCTCTTTTCCTCTAACCTGTAGAGTCCACAGCTGGGCATGCGCTTCTCTCGTCATAGAGAATTTGCTTCAATCATTACGCATTACAGACAAATCAGCCATCGCAGTACCAGACGTCTCCCTCCATTAATGCTGTTCGTCAACATTAGTCCGGATATTTTACACCTGACGTCAGAGATGAAAGAAAGGTTCTCGAGTGGCAGCCTCGTACCGGTAGGCGAAGTGTGGTGCGGCTTCCCACTAGATGGAGTGACGACCTGGTAAGACATGCAGGAAGTAGATTCACGCAGATGGCTCAAAACCATGCTTTGTGGCATTGCTTGAGTCAGATCTATGTTCAGCAATGGTCTTGTGAAGGACTGTGAATGATGATGATGGGTAATGATAATGTTAAAGAAATGGATATTGCTGTCTACAGGGGGCTATAGTATAGCATAGCTAAAGTCACCTCTTACGACCACGACGGGATTAAATGGGGTGATGGATTCGCTTACACAGTCACTACCCGGCTAATCAAATCACTGTTGTTTTGAAAATCATTAACCTGTTGTCAATTTTATCATCATTATTCGCACCTCGTTCTTAAGATTTTTCAAATGGTCTTCGTCCACTTCTCTCGCCTGCTTGTGTATTCGAACCATCTCCAATATCTTGGGCAAATAATGCAGCGGAATACTCGGCAGCCCGTGAAGGATCATACAATCCAAATATAGGTAGAACCTGTCGCAAAATTCAATGATACATAATATGTGCATTGTAAAATTTGATAATAATGTCCTCCAGACCAAATTTCGTTGATGCCGGTCAGTCTCAACGTCAGCTAGCCATCTGTACAGGACATTCCTGTCTGTGTATAGTAGCCGAGTGTATGCACAAGCACAGGTCCACATTCTATTCCCTCCCTCTCATATTTCAATGGAATGTTAATCCGACACGACCGGAGAGAGATAAGGCACAGGGTAAACGGTTTTACATGCTTACCAAGGCACGTTGGTCCTATACCTATGCCTAACGCCCCTTGATCTCTATCTAGACAAGGAGGCGAGGGTTAGTTTGTATAGGATTTACGCCCAGGGCGAGCTTGCTCTCCTACAGATTGAGATCCATGCTCGACTCAATTAAGGAATCACCGGTTTTATGCATCATCTCAGATACCACGCGTCCACTACACACTTTGGATAAAATTTATATAGTGGAATTACCCTCCAGAGAAGACTAGCTGAATGGCCAGGTTATCTGTGAGGTCGGTAACCTCATATGGTATACCGATGGGTCTAAAATAGGCCTCGACGTAGGCTTTGGAATTTACGGGGAACGCCCCAAATTCAAACTTAGCATGAATTTGGGTAGATACACCTCTATCTTCCAGGCAGAAATTTTCGCCATACTTTGGTGTGCGGAAATCAATCTGCAAAAACACTACGTCAACCATATAATTTACATAAACTCTGATAGTCAAGCAGCACTGCTAGCGCTGAGGTCAAACTTAGTGAACTCGAAGCTAGTTGGAGACTGCATAAACCGTTTAAACGCCCTGGGATGTAACAACAGGGTTGTTTTAAGATGAGTTCCGGGTCACGACGGTATTGTAGGCAACGAATTTGCCGACAAACTTGCACGGGAGGGCTCAAAGTGCACACAATTTGGACCTGAGTCTTTTGTGGAATCTCAAGAAGCCTAGCCCGATTGACCCTTGAAACTCTTTATCACAATAAATCACTTAAGATCTGGTCTAACATACCAGGCTTAAAACATTTTAAAACCTTAATCCGGGCTTTTGATCGTAAATTCACTTCAGAAGCCCTGGGATTAAGTAAAAATAAATTGCGCATTCTGGCAAGAGCCCTAACTGGAAACTGTTGTCTTAAAAAGCACGTGTCCATCCTGGGACTAAGCAACTCAAGGATGTGTCGGTTCTATTCCATAACGGAAGAAACGCCGCTACACATCCTAACTGATAGCGGACCCTTAATGCGCAAACGTAACACTCATCTGGGACACTATCTACTCCGCCCAGAAGAAGTGAAATTGCTCACGGCTACGCAACTCCTTCTATTCATTGAAGACATATGGCTTAGCCGTGAACTATAGCCATAGCAGCGAGCACAATAGATCTTTTAGGTCGCAGTGATACTGGTCTCTTTACCTAGACCTGCATAACTGCTCGCGTATAATAAAAAAGGCACGTTGGTGTGACACCGCCAACTGAAAACCCAATTTATTACTCCCGACCAGGGATTCGAACCCAAGACTTCAAGATCATCAGACGTGATTACAACCACTATACCAAAGAGGTAGTTGAACATAAATACCATTTACAAAGTGGTATGGATTTTTCACAATCGTCACGATAAGCTGGCGAATTGGCGATCGTAGTGTTACACGCTTTTTTTTTAACTTTGATGCTGTTCTTAATAGCAATTCTATACATTTTAAATATGATCTTTTGAAGGCAATAAGACGCCATCTTTCTTACATTTCCTACAGTCGTTTCTTAGGATAGTTTACGAGATGATATGATACTTTAAGGTTTTATGATAGAGCCATGCAACAGTTATATTGTAGCACGAATGTGTCTGTTCAACCAAGGAAAGACCACACTCTTAAAGAAAACTAGCTTAAAATTGCAGGTTAATGGTGCTGTGTGCCATAGGGTGAGTCTAGAGAACCTTAGACCCTTTTTACTGAAAACGAGGCATTCCGCATTTTGATTCTTAATCGAGGGTAGATGTAAATGTCTATGGACCGCAGTACCCGCTTACCATAAGATGGAGTGTGTGCTCGCTTGTCATCCTTATTCTATTAAATTTTATGTAGTATTTGCATGAACATGAGAAACAATTATGTCTACCTTAAATTGTTTTCCACCTCGTTGCGTAGATCTACGGCGAACTTGACTCGCTGTGCAAAGTTCTCAGGGTCGTCCGCTTTGAACATCAACCTTACGCGTGGGATGCTAATATTTAAAAGATTATGCAACTTAATATTTGTGTTTATACGTAGTGGAGCCACGCTTCAGCTACATTATGGTTGTAGCATGAATGGGTCGGCTCGACTGAGGTAGAACCACACAATCACAGAATACTAGAGTGTAATAGCAGCTTAATGCTGCTTTTTCATATGAAGATTATAGAGATTCGGAGACCCTTTTTAGAAGAAATGAGGCATTTCATCTTAGTCCCAAGGGATGATAACGGACCTGCATTTTAATTTTTAATTGAGTAGAAATGTTGATGTCTATGTGTATTTGCTTGCCACCCCTATTGTATAAAAAACGTCGATAACTATACTAATACCTTTAATGGGTAATACATTGTGTATATTATAATATACACAATGTATAAGGAGTATAGCCGTGGTAGCTCAGATGGTTAACGCTCACTGTAAATATAACAGAACACGAGTAAGCCGGGTTCGATCCCCGCCGGCTCCAATCAAATTGTTAATTGCAATTTTAAGTGCTGATTTACCACGTGCTCGGCGGTAAAGGAAAACATCGTGAGGAAACCTGCATGTCTGAGGAATAAAACAAAAAAATTCGAAGAGATGTGAAGTTCGCCAACACGCATTGGGGCAGCGTGGCGGACACCTCCTTGCCCCAAAACCCTCTCAGAAATGCGGAGAGGCCTGTGCCCAGCAGTGGGACGTATATAGGCTGTAGCTTTTTTAAAGAGTGGTAAAGCAAAAAATTACTGTCAATGACAATCACATACATGTTATCGATATAAATGAAGAAGTATTCTATTCTATAAAAATTAATGGTCGGACGGTAATGGTAGTAATGCTTGTGGAATTCCTTATGGGAGGCCTATTTCCAGCAGTGGACTTGTGAAAAGCTGTGTTGATGATAATAATAGGGAAACGGATTATAGTCGCTTGGCTTTGCGAATCCTAGTTAGAGTCGTTAGAGTCGCAGCCGAACTTAATATTTACCTACTTTTAAGGTAAACTGGTATCGTGACATTCAATTTCAGGGTTGACAAAGCATTTTGATTCTTATTTAGAAGTGACATTGCGTTTTGATTATTAATCAAAGATATATTTGTCTCTTTTCGGGATGTTTTCGCTGTAAGTCTATGCGACTCTTACAGCTCCATCTGACTCAGGGTCGCTGACTCGAGCTAATTAAAAAAGGGAAAGGCAATGAACGTGAGGATGATGATGAAATGGTTTATGATTTGGCATTGTTATCAATCATCATGACGCCTTTTAGGCGTTATTGAGCTATCTAACCGCTGTCCGAGGGGGGAAGTGTGGACCCCCACCTCTGACTGCTCAGCTCGTGTTGGTCGATGTTGTGGGTGGTGAGAACCGCCCAGGTACACGGGTGTACGATGTGTACGCGGTGTATGCTGTAACGCGTCGTGCCCATCTACGGGTGCGACGCGCCCCATTCGTAATCCTAACAGTGTTTTTCCAAATTTGTGAGGGTGTAGTGTTTGGGTCGACTGGATCGGGCGGTCAGATATAATGTAGGAGTCTATGGACCACAGCATCCACTTATCATAAGATGGACTGTGTGCTCGTTAGGTTACCCCCTACTTCTATTATAAATCGGTGGTTAGAATATGAGAGTATAGAGAGTATAGAGAGTTTATGGCCTATTAAAGGCCCATTTCATAGAATGTAGGTAACGAATAGAAGACTTTACATGAGTGTTACTGTGAAGTTTGGAGACGCTTAAGGTATTTAACGTATATTCTATCGATTCTTAGATTACAGCTTATCAAAAGTCATCTGCTAAACAAAGCATAGTTGCCACGCTTTGCAGGCAGGTTGGCACGGTTAAACCACCACCTAACGCGTCCTAGATCTTTTTAATATTTTCCATAATGGCATTTTACAACTAACACGGGAAGAATAGAAGTAATTAATACTGTTATGAACACTTTTTTATAGCATTGGGTGACAAACGAGTACACAGTCCACTTAATGGTAAGTGGAAGCTGCGGCCCATAGACATCCACATTTATCCTCGATTAAGAATCAAAATGCAGATGCGTTGTCACTATTGAGGATTAAGATGGAATGCCTTGTTTTCAGTAAAGAAGGGTCTCCAATTTTCTACACTTACAAACAGAAACAGAACAGAACCGATAACTTCTTTAAGTGTTAAAGCCTTAACTCTTAACTTTAAATCTTTGTAAATACCAGAAATACCAGTACTGCGATATTAGCAAAAATACCTACACCTAATCATCAAGTCGGATGATAAATTATCAATATATATTACCATCGGGTGCACTGTGTGCTCGTTTGTTACCCTTATTCTTTAAAAAAAAAACTAGTGACAAGGAGCAGCATTATTATTACGTAGGTATCGGTTCTACGCTGACAGGTATCGCGTTAATCAAAGTTATCCGTCAATCTTTAAAAATGTGCATTAATTATTACAATTCAGCGCATCTCTGAATGACCTAAGTCCGGTTTTAGCCGGTAGAAGTATAACAAAACCTTTCCGTCGCCCCCGCAGCAAAAGGTATACAAGAAGATTTCCACATGATAAAAAATACCAGCAACTGATTAAAACGGGTGTGGAGGCAGGCAAATCTATACTAAGCTCAATATTTTTAGAGAGACTAGTCAACATGGAGAATACGTTTCATATTTAAATTCGTTTAACTATCAAAATAAAAATGTAACTTCACATTTGAATGAAACTGGTTTTTTATGGATTTTATTGCGTGTATCCATGGTCACGGGGGGGGGGGGGGGCTGCGACAATACTCGAAACGTCGAGAATCGAGAATATGAAATAAGTTTATACACGACAAAATCCGTACAAACTAGTTTCATTTAAATGTGTTGTGCGCGTAAATATAATTGTCGTAAATGTAACTTCACTTGAAGCGTCGCTTTGAGCCATCCAACGCCATCACTTCCCAATTTTCAGTCTTCTTGTCGTAACTGAAGATAGCCACATTGATCCACTGAAAACATTTAAAATTTTCACAATACCAAATTAACTTAGGTGGTTCAAGCCGTAAAAAGTTAAGATATTAAGCCTCCCCTTAAATAACAAATAGAAATTCATCAAATTCTATCCCTTTTTTTATTCCACCAATTTTCCCCCGTGACCATGAGTACTGCAAAGCATTTAAAACGTTGTGAGTTAAAAAATTTACTTTATAGAATTCATTCACCGGGAGAATTGAGATAGTCAGTTCCTCGTTATTCAAGGTGATGTGGATGAAACTTGGAATTGTGTCGCAGTGTACGATAATGGTAAACTGTAATTTAGAAAAGTTAAAAATTAAACGCGAAAAATCGGTAAAAGTAGTTTTATTCAAAGTAGTGTTCGCGTCAACGCAAAAATACAATATAACTAATTGAAATTTCAAGCGATGATTACGTGGACAGCGGTGAAACAAATATCGCGAATAAACCTGCCTTGTCAGAAGTAAATAAAAAATGAGGACATAAAGTCCGCCGTTATTCATTATACAAGTGTCACTGCGGCGAACTTTCATGCTCCTTATTAGGTCAGTGAATCAAAACCAAACATTGTTAGAAATATGAAAAATTGAGAACTGAAAAAACTGAAACTTGTTAAAAATATGAAATAGATCCATTATACTAGACATATTGGCTCACAATCTTCGAGATAAATTCATCACCAAGGGGTCCGGGGAAATTACCGCCATTAAACATAAATGGTGTGTAGGTTCGGACTATGAAGAATTTCAGGTACTTGGGTCATATGTTGTCGGAGAACCTGAGTGACGACTTGGATATTGAGCGTGAACGTAGAGCTCAGCTATGCGTTGTAACATGCTGGCGCATCGCTTTGCCTCGTGTTCTGTGGATGTTAAGATTACTCGGTTTAAAGCCTATTGTATTAGTTGGACTTTGGATAAATTACACAAAAAACATCCTATAACATCCTCAGAGTACAGTATAATGATGCTTTTCGTATTTTTTTGAAACATCCATGGTACTGCAGTGCGTCGACAATGTTCGCAGAGGCTGCCGTCCCAGACTTTTACGCAGTGTTACGTTGTAGAACGGCCAGTTTCTGGGAAACTGTACGTAACTTAACAAATGAATTAGTTAAGGTCGTTGCTCAGGTGTCTCCTGACATATTTTATAAAGACTGGCAGGATATGCATCAGACGCTATAGGTGATGAATTTTTTTAAAGTACTATATTTTAACTCATAATAGAGTTTAATTTGTAATTTTTATGTGTATAATACTCTAATTCATTGTCTTTGATGCAAAATGTACTTGACAAGTAGATTAATACCTTAATAAATAAACTTTTATTATTATTATGGTTTGGGGTATCTATATAGTTTTCTCATCTGGTTGGGATCTATAAATATATAATTATAAATGAAAATGAAAAGATAAATATACATAAATATCAATAAAATAAAATAAATACAAAAATACATAAATAAATAAAAGCCCAACCAGATGGAAGCCCTCGGCAGGGGAGACCAGACGGCCGAGGGTTAGGGGGAAAGGGAAAGAAACCGGCGGACGATGCGGGCGGTATCGAGGAGCACCGCCTTTTGTATTTGAGCCCGGAGCGGTCCGTCACGGAGTCCCAGTTGCTTCAGATGACCCGAGAGGCTGACTGGGATTAGCCCACTCGCAGAGACGACTACAGGAATAATTTCGACCGGCAGACCACCCCACATATCGGTCACCTCGTGAGCCAGGTCCAGATATTTTGTTCGTTTATCTGTTTCGGCTTTCACGAGGTTCTCGTCATACGGAATGGTAATGTCGACAAAATATCCTTGACTGTGCCCGGTCCATCAGCACAATATCAGGCTTATTCGCAAGAATAGTCCTGTCTGTGATGATGACCCGGTCCCAATAGAGCCTGGCGCGGTCATTTTCGAGCACGGCTTCCGGCAAGTACTTGTAATACGGCACTTTCCGGCCCACGAGACCGTATTTCAGAGCGAGCTCCTGGTGTAGAATTCTGGCTACTAGGTTGTGCCTGTGCAAGTACTCAGAGTGAGAAAGCGCCGAACGACCGGAGATGACATGCCTAAGTGACTCACCGGGACGTCGACGGTGCCATCCTTTAGGATGTATCTCCGATAGTTGTTGGTCTTAATAACCTGATCCTGTATTGCACAGACAAAACCCTCGGTTTCCCCGAAGAGGTCACCGAAACGTAGCCAGTTGAGGGAGGCGACTGTATCTACGAAGGGCTCATGTAGAACCCTGTAGTACCTCCCGTGGAGCTCCTTCTCCTTCCACACGGTCTCCCGGTCGGAAATGCTTAGTACTGCCGGGTCCTGCCATTGCTCGTTGGCTAAGGATAGAGGGGTAAGTCCTTTATCACTAGAAATGACGTCATTATAGAATGGATCATCCGATCTCACCAGGAAGTAATTACGGAGGCTGCACACTTCGCGATTATTATTTTTATTATTTATTATTTATATTTCGAAGATATTATTATTATTATTATATTATGAATGAGTTGTAGTAAAAAATATTTTTATAAAAACTAGCGTTCAGGGATGTCCGTTATCTTGAGGCATCAACCATATTGAAATTAAAATTATGTTACGTATTTTTTGACAAACTTGTATTAAATATCTCTATCAAGTCTTGTTAATAAAATATGTCTTATACCTCGGAGCAGCTGCCCTTTTGAATAAGTTACATAACTGAAGTTACTAGTTTTGACATTAGTAGTATAGATATAGCACGAATGGCTCGGCTCGACCGAGGAAGGACCACGCTCTCACGGAATACCAGCGTAAAATAGTAGCTTAATGCTGCTATGTTTCGTATCGTGAGTGTAGAGAACCGGAGACCCTATACCCTTTTACTGGAAACGAGGCATTCCATCTTAGTCCTCACGGGTGACAAAGCATCTGCATTTTGATTTGTAATCGAGGATAGATGTCCATCCAAAAATTATCATCTCCAGTACAAAAATTATGTGCAAAATTCCAGCTGAATCGGTCAGATGGAACCGTTTTATACTTTTATTGCAATATTTAACCTACATTATATACTAAAAGGTGAATGAAGTTGATAAAAGTCAGTAAAATCATGCAAAGTAGGGATAAAAAAAAACTAAAGTAAACTTTAATGGTAGCAGATAAACTAGCCTCTAGCTTTTTAACGTGGTAGACCACGCTACAGCTATATTAAAGTTGTAGTACAAATAAGTCAGCTCGACCGAGGTAGGACCACGGTCTCACAGTATACCAACGTAAAATAGCAGTCTAATGCTGCTGTGTTTCGTATAGTTGAGAACCGGAGACCCTTTTTACTGGAATTCCATCTTAGTCCTCAGGGGAGACAACGCATCTGCATTTTGAATCTTAATAGAGAATAAATGTAAATGTTTATGGGCCACCGCATCCACTTACCATCAGGTAGACTGTATGTTCGTTCGTCACCCTTATTTCATTATAAAAGCCGGCGGCGGTACAAGGATCGCATCTGCACCGCCATAGGGTAGCCTATTTGACTTTTCGTGGTAAATATGATGCCAGAACTGCCACGCTATTAAAACTAGGACCAATCGTGTTTACCACTGATTTGGCCATCTAGAGCTCGCAATGAACGAGCTCTCTACACTAATATTTACTTGTGAGATGTTATTATGAAAAATTGTAATAAATATTCACCTCATATAAATTATTAAGCATCTGTATAACGTCGCCTGATCCTCTGTTAGAACCATCTTCTTTAGGGATAAACGCTAAACCAGGACACGGATATTGTTCTCCTTCAATGTTCCCTAATGACAACCACTCCTCGGGGGTCCTAGTAATTTTATTTCATGTAATATTATATGTACAGACTGAACTTAATTAACTGAAATTTACAATTAAATATTGATGTATTTGCTTACTTAGAGAAGTTTTTTATACTCAGAGCACCTACAATTATCATTCAATATCAAGATACAGATGCATTGTCACATCTAATAAGTAAAATGGAATACTCCGTTACCAGTAAAATAGATCCACGGTTATCTTCACTTATCCCAAAGCAGCAAGCAGTTTTTTCTCACCGGCAACGAGCATACGGCTCACCTGATGGTAAATATTTACCGCCGCCCATGAACAACCAGTGGCCTTTAAAAAGGAGTAGGCTCTTTTCTTGAAGGTTCACAAAAGTCGATCCACAAGGAAATTGTGCGAGGCAGAAAACTTCTTTTAAATCGCAGAGTGGTGGACCGCCTGTCATCCAGATGGTATGGATGGTATCGCGAGTTAAACTACAGATACATTACAACCGATGAAAACTAAGATAACTGACTCACAATCTGTAATTATATTGGCTCTCTATAACCATCAGTCGGAACGCAGCAGCGCATATGTTTTTGCACCAATAGTGGTAGTCCTGATCCAGATTATACTGTGTGATATGTCCCGCTAACTTTGACAATGCAAGCAAATCTTTTTTTAAGAGAAACTTTTTTCGTTATATACTAAATTTCTTTAGGTTTTATCGCAGCTTATAGCTTCCAGCGGAAATCAACATCTGAGACCTCACAATCAGTATTAATCGACAGAGGAGAGACAACTGTTCATCATTTTGATTAAAGATGCTAAAATTAAATAGCTAATTATTTAATGATTAGAGTAAAAAAATATAAATTATGTGTCTGAACTAGTTTGAAGAGAAACTTCCGCCCTCCCTCAACTGCGTGCACTATATCTGTAATTAATCCCAGCACCACTACTACTAACACTAGCAAAAACACACCATCGTCGATAATACGACAAGTTTTTCGCTTCTAAACGAGGCATCTTGAGGTGAAGTAAAATCTGCGGTGGCTGGCCGCTAAACTTAATAACTTTTAACACTTGAATATAATGGATTTTGTGGATATTGATAAAATAATACAGGATTCTATCAATTATCATAACGATCCAAAATTAACTCACCTACAATCAAAATCCGTGTTATCGAAGGTCTCCAAGTCTAGCTTAGGATAGGGACTGTACAGTCCGTATCGTACTTGATCCGTGATCGGGTACTCCGATGGCGGTACAAGCCAAAACGGTTGTATTTCGAGTTCTCTCAACATTTTCTGAAAGATATTTAATTCCCTTTAAAAACAGTTACTGGCGTTTGTATTTGTGTACATATTTTTAACTTCCCGCTATGAAAATCTAGTTATTGGTTTCATCTCAGTTTTCGAAAATCGAGATTCCATTAGATCTCGCGTGCGCGTGTGCGTGTGCTTGTGCGTGTGCGTATGTTTGTGTGTGTATGTTTGTGTGTTTTTGTGTGTGTTAACCTCTAACAACCTCTAATAACTTTTGAACGGATTGACTGATTTGAACAAACTTTATGGTGTTCGAGAGGGTTTCACCAAACTTAGATATTCAATACTATAATATGTTTCGATAAATTTCGACCCGTAGATTTTGAGAAATCTCAGAAATAAAATTTACATGAAAATGGTTTTGTTTTTGAATAACTTTTAAACAGATTTAACGATCGATTCCCAAGTCTAATTAGCTTTTAAACATGGAAAACGACGTCGATTGCTGCGAACCGCTTCAAAATCGGTTAATGCGTTGAAGAGAAATCGGTAACGAATTTTTTTTTAATAACTTCGAAATTTCTGCTTGGATAGTTTTTGATGTAATGAGTTAACTATTAGTTCGTAAAAACAGTTGTCGAGCGTTTTGAGATTGAACATAATGAGAAGTTACAGGGACGGCCTGCAGGGTCAAACAAAAAGATAGGTCCAACAGGTAGGTAGGTAAAACATACAACACAAATAAACAGACAACGTACACAAACAAACATGGCACCCGCCACTGCTCGCAAGATGACTACGTATCCATTGAGCAAACATCGGCGAGTCCCAAGGGTCTGCCAACGTGTGCAAGATACTGTTGAGGCTGTCGCGAATGCGCCTGAGGTGAAAAGCGCAACGTTTACTCATTATGGCGGCGAAAGCCGTGAGCCTCCGCAAAAATAGCAAAAGCGCTACAGAAACGCGGCAATCGATCAATATCCGAAATGCGTTACTGTATTGTACGCGAAGATCACTGTATGTCCTCTGCGTAAAGTTAACCCACAGACTGCACGTATAAAATGAGTGATAGCACGCCTTGAAAAACGTAATCATTCCGTTTATGCTTAGTTGAAGATTCTATCATAATATCTCGCTTCAAAACCATTTTTGTGAAAAGTATTGCTGTTATAAAAATAAATCTTTCATTTTAGTTATAGGTTACACATTCACCTTTACTTTTACATTTATTTTTTTATTATATTTTACTGTATGAACGTACCTTTATATTGGCCGCAAGAAATTTCCTCCTCAGGCGTTCAATTTTCACCAATCTTGGAAGCTCTTTTGGGAGTACCACGCTAAGAAACTGTAGCTTTGGTACAAATGTTTCGAATGGAAATTGCTGAAAAATAAATATTTATACTATAATGAATAATTTAGGTACACGGTAACTTATAGCTAAGCATGAGTAGAAAGAGTGCAGCGGCGCGTGCGGCGTGGCCATAAACAAATATGGCGACCGTCATTTTTATTTTTAACCATACAAGCCACTATCCCACCTGATGTAATAGCAGCTTAATGCTGCTGTGTTTCGTATGGTGAGTGTAGAGATCTAGAGACCCTTTTTTACTGGAAACGAAGCATTCCATCTTAGTCCCTCAGGGGTGACAACGTATTTGCGTTTTTATTCTTAATCGGGATAAATGTAGATTTCTATGGGCCACAACATTCACTTACCAACTGGTGGACTGTATGCTCGTTTGTCACGCTTATTCTATAAAAAACCTGATGGTAAACAGTGATTTAGTCGAAGATGGCAAAGGGTACTGGCTTAGCTTAACTAACGCCTATTCACCCTTTAATTGAAGACAGATTACATTTAACTACATTGTAATGAAATGGAAAGACAGATGCTGGCAATATATTTCACTCTTTTGCTGTACGAATAACTGACGACGAAGCAAACTGTTTGATTCGAATACATAGTAAGTTGACACAGAGGGGGTTGAGACTGTCCCTGCGCCTGGTTGGCCGATGGTGAATGGGAGAGGGAGGAATTACTTCATGCAATTCCTGGGCACACTCTTCGAAAAGTATCCTGTAGAACTCCTTGTGTTTTCCAGTGATATATTTCGGAAAGATGGTGCCTTGCTAAACTGGATGCCCTTTTGCAGTAAAGAGACAAGCCTATGTTTTGGAGCCGTGGAATTTCACAAGATTGCCATCACCTCCTATTAATACTATCTGTAGTAAAAAATTACGGTGATTCCAGAACAATAATATATAAGAGCATCTGTTTTTCATGTACGCTGAACACCAGAGCCGCATTATAAACGCGAGCACGACTCTATTCTTACATTTACTTTTGAATATACCAGCATATAATACTGTGAGTATTAAGTACACACTTAAAAGAAGTTTAGATCCAGCATAAATGTACCGAAACTATAATACCTAGACCCAGGGCTATGATATATCAGCCGTGATAAATTAAGGGATTAATTTTCAATGTTGGATAAAAGTTATTATCTATCAAATGAATTATAACCTTACTGATAAAAGTTCAAAAATCGAACTGTTTTATACATACAAGCATAATTTCGATTTTTTTATCAAAAGTGGTGACAAGCAAGCACACAATCTAGAGGATGCTGTGGCCAATTGTAAACCAAATCTACATCTTACCACGATTAATAATCTGAATACAGATGCGTTATCACCCCTGAGCACTGAGATGGAATGCTTGATTCCAGTAAAAAGGGTCTTCGTGTATTTCGTATTTTATTATCGTATGAATAATTTAATAGAACTATTTTTACAGATTTTATCGTGTTTAATTTACTTATTGTTAATTCCCGACGTTTCGGGTGCTATACAGCACGGGTCACGGGGGGACTGAGATGTTTGACATCCGGATGTCACAGTTAGCCCGGCTACCTTCAGTTTTCAAATATTAATTTTTGGTCCAATCTACGCAGAACGAGCTTTGAAGTAATGTCTGCTTACCGTCCCATCGGGCTATGAGAGTGAAGGAATAGCGAGTGCACCTGTGTTTGCGTATACATCGGGAGAGTTATAATATCCAATATTGGAATTTCACGGGTTTAGAATGATGGCTTGTGAACCTACACCAAGAGGATGTTACAAATATATACATACAACGCTATCGTCCTCTCTATAAGTGGTCCAACGTCCTGGCGGCATCAACACCTTCGGCTTCTGCGGTTTCGGCAGGGACACCAGCATTGGAGCTAGCTTGTCCGTCTTTGCCTACAGGTAAAAGATGTTACATTAATGAAAATATCAGTTGTACGTTGTCCTATTAATACTATCTGTATTAATAGATAATATCAGTTGTACGTTGTCCGATGACTTCGTGACCTTCACAAGGGAATTTGCTTAAAAAGGGAATTTACAAGTCACGGCGCGCTATAAGTTTTAACGCCGATACATTGAAGTAATACGTATCTACTACGATCGTTCTAAAAGACTCCGAGACTTCATCACATCCGAGACATCTTGTGGAGGGCCGCCCTACCCTTCGCTTACCGGTACGAGGTTCACTCGAGAACCCAGGTGTCAGTAATGCAATATTTCCCTTATTAATAATATATTCCTTTTATTAATAACCCCTACCGATCTGGATTTAACAGAACGTTTCCGAACCTGTATAGCAGCTATTAATATGCAGCCAAAAGAAATCGGTGTTAATCTATGGTGGTTTGTTAGCTCAGAGCCGTGGTAGCTTAGAAGAGCCGTGGTAGCTCAGATGTTTAACGCTCGCTGTAAATATAACAGAACGCGAGTAACCCGGGTTCGATCCCCGCCGGCACCAATGAAATTGTTAATTGCAATTTTAAGTAATGATTTACCACGTGCTCGGAGGTGAAGGAAAACATCGTGAGGAAACCTGCATGTCTGAGGAATAAGAAAATTATGGGTTGGACGCGGCGGACACTTCCCCTTAAACCCTCTCTGAAATGAGGGGAGGCCTGTGCTCAGCAGTGGGACATATATAGGTGTGTGTCACTTTACTATGGTAGTTTTGTATTGCAAATACACTTATGTTTGTCGTTCATGGAATAACAAGCTTAGTCTACAACTAAAACATTAAAGCAGCCCTTCACAAGTCCACTGCTAAACATAGGCCTCCTCCAAAGAATACCACAGAGCACGGTCCTGAGCAACTGCATCCATTGACTTCTCGCATCTCTTATCAGCATCCATCTAATAGGGGCTGCCTATACGTCGCGTCGCTTCCGGTGGGCTGCCATTCGAGAGCCTTTCTTTCGCATTGGTAGTCGGTTCTTTAAGCTATAACCGGACCATGCTTACTGATCCGTGGGGTTATTTTGGTTCTCTGGCACTACTATGGACCAACACTACTTACTGGTTAAACATAAATTAACATAAACACTCATGCCTGACACCCAGAGGGGTAGACAGAGACTACGGACTAACTACCATTTGGCATGATCCTGACACACCTCTCCTTTACATCCATATACGTACGCATACATGCTCGTCGGTTAAAGGTACTCTTAATTTGGCCCATCTTCAATATATCGCCAATTTGGTCAATAAACTTTCATATTAAACTTAGTAAGAATGACTTTTATATGAATTAAAATGATGTGAGTGCACGCAATTGAGGGAGGGCGGGACCATACATAGTATTATCTATGGGGCGGGAGGTGCTCCCTTCAAACTAGGTAAGGTACATCATTTTATTTCATTTGATTTAATTCTTACTAACTTTAATATAATGGATTTCCGTAAAGTAACGCCTGATTCTATTAATTATCGATAAACTTTCGTCTAGGGAGTCCCTTGCGAAGCATCCCTTTCTTAATCCTAGTCACAAGATCATTTCGCAAACCACACTTTTTTCTTATCAATTTCTCTCCTGCCATCCAGACTCAGCAACTAACATACTCCCTAATTCGCGTTTCTACAGATTTTTTTTTATTTTCGTGCTTCTTCTGCCATACGCAACTTTCACTATCATATATTAAGGGTCGCCCACACGTACATCAATCACACCACATCGCAGCGACAAAAGGTCACGTGTGAATAGTGTCGCTGCAACTTTTTGCACTTGTGTTGTGGTTGCGTTGCCACCCAAGTCGTGGCATCGACGCAATGTTCTATTTGCAATGTGGTCGCTAGTTCCGTGTGGTTCCGTAGTGGTTGCGTTGTGGTCGGTATCACTCACGCCGTCGATAATGACGGCAAAATGGGGTACATGTAAATTGTACTATCAATTTCCAATACAAAATACGCCCACCCACGTGTTGTGGTTATGGTTGTGGTGTGGTTGTGGTACATGGGGGTAGACCCTTAGGTTCACTATCATATAATAACTCAGCATTTTCATTTGCCATACCATACACGCCTTTTTTGACACATTCTAACCTCGCACAATAGTGTGTAAATCCTATTTCAGTGGTCAAACACTTACTTGTAAAATTAACTTCATCCTTTTCTTTGCGCACATTTCTCTTGAAGGATTTTCTTTAATCATGTTCGCTACCAGTTCTGAATAGTACCCTCTCTTCGGTATCGCGTCTCTTGTGGTATTATCAAATACCACATCGTGGTATTTAATCTTTTTCTTTTTGCTATGCATGACAGCAAACTACAACTTAAATAATTATGCTTTTTTAACGTAAATATTTAATATCAAAGGTTAATTCAGCTTAATATTTATAATAACTAAATATTCCATAAATAAGATTTAATATCTTATAATGTCATATGTTAAATGAATATTGACTGACATATTTACTTTTTTGAATGGGATTTTGGAAAATACTTAAATACTTTTTCATGAAGTTTATTTTAAAGAAGTGGTAAAATCATAGACTTAGAATATGCTGGCGTATCCTAAGTCTATGGGTAAAATGAAAAATTCTGTACAACCGACTTCAATATAAATAAAATGAGAACTTCACCAATGTAGTCGAAATCAAATAACTACGTGTTGTTAAGGGTAACTCAACACTGATGCTCAGATCTTGATCAAATTTATATAGGATTACATAAGAAGCAGCTTTCAAATGAAAAAAGAATTATCAAAATCAGTTCACTAGAAAAAAAGTTCTGATGAAACACATTAAAGAAATTCCGTCGTATTGAGAACTTCCTCCTTTTTTTCAACCTTCAGCCTCTTACTAGGATTTTCTATTGTATCGTGGAGGCAGTTTTCAAACATAAATTGCACAAGGACAAATATCCAGACCCGAAAAAATTATTTGTAGGCCATACAAATATTTGTTCCGTGCGGGATTCAAACGCAATCGATTCAACGGCAATCAACGCCGCAATTAAACGCTAAGGCATTGCGCTATGGAGCCGTGTAAATTATTAATTTGTCGTAGATTACGCAAAAAGGGTCTAACTCCCAAAAACCTGTTTCAGGAGAAATTGACGATTAATGTGTAATGATGGTATAAGAATATCTACTACCCCATATCGTATCGTGGGTGTCGTAGGAGACGACGAATCGAAATTGAAGCCAGCCAGCAGCATCTGTGACTCAAAATAATGTAAATCTGCAGTTGCCAACCCGCTTGCCAAGCATAGCCACTAAGGCGATCAATGGGGGAGGTCTATATTCGGCTGTGGACTAAAGTCCAGGGAGAACGGCGTTTCACAATACCAACACTCCTCAATCCCCAGAGCTGCGGCGAGTTGGAAAGCCATCCCCACCGCTACAGTTTATCGTAAAGCCTCCGGAGTAAGCCCGACGAGACAACTCGACGCGACCACGTTGGTCCGACCCTTCACCTTATGACCAAGCAAGGGCTACTAAACTTTCACCCCACCTCTTTTTTAATACTTATTAATACTTTACCTAGTATAATACTTTTATTACATGTGTACTTTTATTACATGTGTTTTTTATATAGAGTTAGGGTGATAAACGAGCACACAGTGCACCTGATGGTAAGTAGATGCTGAGGTCCATAGATATCTACATTTATCCTCGATTAAGAATCAAAACGCAGATACGTTGTTACCCCTGAAGGACTAAGATGAAATGCCTCGATTCAGTAAAAATGGGTCTACGGATTTCTACACTCACCATACGAATCGCAGCGGTATTTCGCTAATATTTTACGCTGGTATTCCGTGAGAGTGTGGTCCTTCCCCGGTCGAGGGCCCATTCGTGCTACAACCTGTTGGCAACTTTATTTCCTGGCAACACCGGTCCGCCCCTCTTCGTGCGCAACCTAAGAGAAGTGGGTAGGGAAATGTTATAAAATAGGGTGCATCGCGATTATAAGAGGTTCTGTTCTAATAACACGCGTCGAGTTAGTCTCAGTGTAATTAAGTGTCCTGAATACAAAAAAACTGTAGTCTTAAGTGATCTATGCAAATATTAGTTGAATAAATAGATTGTGTCGTCAGTACATATTATACAAAAAAATATAAAAAAATCATCCATTGGCCCAAGACTCTTCCTGTATATATATATATATATATATATATATATATATATATATATATATATATATATATATATATATATAAATCAATAGCCGTGCGTTAGTTTCGTAAAAACTCGAAAATGGATCGACTGACGTTGATGAAATTTTTGTGTTTGTTTAAAGCTGGGGCTTCTTATTAAAGATATAGAAACAAAACATTGTATAGAAAATTAAATACTTTATTGTCGTACAATATTAAGACATACATCCGAAAATTCGAATTTTACTTGAAAACACAGGAATATTTCTGGCCTTACGTATCACTCAAAATGTTCTCCAACTGAAAATGAAAATTCATTCGATTATTAACCAAGGGAGCTGACACGACATAAACCTCACAGAATATCAGCGTAAATAGCAGCGTAATGCTGCTGCATTTTCTACTATGAACAAGGCTCTTTTTACTGGTAAATTTTAAATGTAGATGTAGATGTAAATTTTATACGTGCCACGCTGCAGCTATATTATGGTTGTATCACGAATGGATTAGTTCGATCGTGGTAGAACCACGCTCTCACAGAATACCAACGTAAAATTGGTTTTTGCCTGTGGCCCATAAATATCTAAATTTAACCTTAATTAAGAATCAAAACGCAGATATGTTGTCACCCCTGAGGACTGCGATGGATTGCCTCGTTTCCAGTATAAAGGGTCTCCGGATCTCTACACTCACCATACAAAATACAGCAGAATCAAGCCGCTACTTTAACGCTGGTATTCTGTGTGAGCGTGGTCCTACCCCGGTTGAGCTAACTCATTCGTGCTACAACCACAATAAAGCTGCAGCATGGCTTTGTAGCAGCGATGTCGTCGCGCCGCAAGCGAAACACACCGAAGCCTAAATCACACTATCAAAATTCCGAATCATAAACAGTATAAATAGAACATCTCCGAACTATCACACGGAGTGTTGGCCGTTCCCCGGGCACAACACCTTGCCCGGCGGGAGATCTCCCCTTTTCCTTCTACGGCTACAGCTCTACCACTGTAAAAGGTATTCCATATTAGTTGTAGTGACAACACATCTGCATTTTGATTTCTAATTACGGATAAATGTATATGTCTATGGGCTACAGCATCCACTTACCATCAGGTGGACTATGCTCGTTTGTCACCCTTATTCTATAAAAAAAACTACAGGCCCTGAAATATACCATCTTAGTTCTCAGAAATGACAACGCATCTATAGCCTTTTTTTGCTTGAAGTAAACTGCAGTTGTCCATAGGCTGTAGAAGCCACTTATCATCAGGTAGACTGTAAGTTTGTTTAGCCTCTCAAACGTCAAGCGTCCTAATTTGATCGCTTCGATATTCCGGTAAAATTCAAGAGGTCAAATTTAACCGCACCCACCCACAGCACTTTAACCCATATAGGCTTATGTTTAGAGATTACTTTTCTATGAAGAAGTTTGGCATTATAGAATCAATATGAAATTTTCTATTCTCGTGTGGAATAAAAAACAGTCTATGGATATTAATTTATATTCTACGTTCATTACGTACGCCGTTTTCATTTAGATGTTGTTGTGTTGTTCTGTTGATTTTTGGATTTTTCTAGTGCTTTATTAGTGTTTTACTAAAGTTTTATTATAAAATCGTTATAAAAGTTTTTGTGTGAATATAATTAATCTTTATACGTAAATATTTTCGAATAATATATAGAAATAATTGTAATTTTCACGCTGCCGACATCCGCTTGGTATGTTTTTTTTTGTTTGTTATCAAAATACATTACAATCTTTTTGTAATGAAGTAAAAACTGACTTTGTTTACACCACAGAATAGAAAATTTTGTATAGATTTTATAATGCCAAACTTCTTCATAGAAAAACGTCTAAACATAAGTTTTAATAGTTTTAAGTGCTGTGGGTGGGTGCGGACGCATGCGACCGCTCGGGATTTGCCAGACGCATGCGACTGCATGGGAATTTTATGGGGATTGAAGGGTTAAATATATTTAAGTACTTAAATTTAAGTAATATGTCTTCTAGAGTGAATTTTGGCCACGGCGGCCCGTCTCAATGGAGACTAGCCATCTACGCAGGGCAGGTTTACAATGTCCGAGTGTATGCGCAAGCACAGGTGCATTCTCTATTGTCTAATTCTCATAGTCAGATAGGACAGTAATCCGACACGACCGGAGATAGATCAGGCGCAGGACCAACGGCTTTACGTGCTTTCCATGGCATAGGAATAAAAAACCGCCAAATTCCTAACTATCGCCTGCTACTGAGAAGTTCCTGAAAGAAAACCTCGAATAAATTTTTTTAGACCAACCCGTGGTTCGAACCCAGGACCTCACGATCAGCAGGCGCGTTTATAACCACTAAATAAATGAGGCAGTTAGTTATTAAATAACTAAATTGTGAAAGGAAAACCCTACAAGCTTCCCGACACTTACTTCTTGATACAAGGGCCCGGTTCGACCAGTTCCTCCTCTTTCAAGTACACGCACTTGGTGTCCACAAAGCCAAGCAACTCGGCGAGCAGATCGATGTCCTTGTACGAGGGTTTTGCTCGTAATATCTGTATAACAAGGTAATATAGTGTTGCGCGCCACAATTAATGCCTGGTTCATGGCGACACTAGTTACCACTAGCGCCCTCTAGTATCGAGTAGCAGAACTAGGAGAGTCAAGATCGTTCTAGAAATTTCCATGGAAGAACTTTCTAGAACTATCGAAACCTAGTCAGTCGGGACCGGTATGTACTCGAACATTCTAGATTTTTCTACAGTAGAAGATTCTGGAACTATCTGAGGCCCTATATAAGGCCGGTATAGACCGTTACCTGAGACAGTCTTGAATTGGTGATACAAGCGAAAACTTCGAAGCAGTACAACTGCAAACGAAAGTGATCAATAGTACAAAAAGTGTTTTGTTATTAGTGTGGTTTTAAGTCGTCATTAGAATTCTGCAATTAAAGTATCAATTTTGGTAATTCACTCGGCAGTTTTTAATTATCTTAAACCCCAAGCTCGTTACAATAGTTTCAACACATTACGGCCGCTAAATCTGTACATAACTCCCTCCCCATAGACTGCTTCATAGTTGCCACGCCTGGTAGGCGAATTGGCAACCGCAGTTTTTCATAACTTTATATCAGATATCATCTCTTGTTACAGTTTCCCTCTGTCGCTTCTTAAGACGCCCATGTTTTTTAAGTAATTTTAGCCAGTGCTTAACTACTACCCCACTTGACAAATAGAATAGAATAGAATAATTTTCATTAATTGTAGATTGCAAGAATACTTATTGAAAATCATTTCTAGCAAGAAACCCCGGAATTTTTTTTAAATAAAATCAAGTTGATGATGATGATGATGATGGTAAGTGTATATATAGATACAATTACTAATTAAAAAAGACTTAATTCTTCCCTTCCGTTCCACCATCGTGTAATTCCTTTAGTCGTTCGGCTCGTCTCCACCACTTCATTATTAGAATAGAATAGAATAATTTTTTATTTAATATAGATTACAAGTAATTCTTATAGAAAGTCAATATTTTACTTTACCACCTATATTGAGAACTACTATATTGAGAAACAACGCATTCGAACCGAATTTTATGTGTGGTAAAGCCACACTGCAGCCTTATTATGGTTGTAGCATGAATGGGTCAGCCCGACCAGGGAAGAAAATAGCAGCTAATGCTGCTGTGTTGCGTATGCTGAGTATAGAGATCTGGAGACAGTTTTTTAATGGAAACGAGGCATTCCATCTTAGCCCTCAGGGATGACACACATCTACATTTTTATTCTTAATCGAGGATAAATGTAGATGTCTATGGGCCACAGCAACCACTTATCATCAGGTGAACTGCGTGCTCGTTTGTCACCATTATTACATAAAATTTTGTACGTGGTAGAGCCATGCAGCAGTTATATTAGTAGTATAGTTGTAGCACGAATGGGTCGGCTCGACCGGGGAAGGACCACGCTCTTACAGAGTACCAGCGTGAAATAGTGGCTTAATGCTGCTGTGTTTCGTATGGCGAGTGTAGAGAACCGGAGACCCTTTTTACTGGGAATGAGGCATTCCATCTTAGTCCTCACGGGTGACAATGCATCTGCATTTTGATTCGTGATCGAAGATAGATGTAGATGTCTATGGGCCACAGCCACCACTTACCACCAGGTGGACTGTGTGCTCGTATGTCACCCTGTACTATAAAAAAAAAAGAATTAAAAAAAAGAATTCGATTTCGAATTGCATCGTCGTTCATATTTCGTACAACAATGCAGTGTAATAATTAACCAGTGTATTTCCATCAGATTACAATTTGAGTGTCTTCAAGGCAAGAGTGATAAGGTTTCTTTTTAAACGAAATCAGTGTGCTCAACCATCTTCTGTTGTATCTCGTATCTATCGACATGAGTCAGCTATGTTCAGCAATGGCTTTTGATAGATTGTTATGAATGAAGCCCTGTACCGTATAGTGGCGGTATATGAATATCCACTGCCCCATATCACCTCGTGGTCTGGAGGCGACATTGAGAAACAACAGGAGACAGGTAGTGGAATGACTGAGCTTGGCAACTATGGCAAATTTTTGAGTTGAGTGAGAAGGGGTTCCGGGGAGTGTATGATGATTAATGAATGAAGAAATTTGGGATATCGTGGATAATTTTAATGAACAAGGAAATGATTTCACGGACATAGTAAAGTAGTTAAAATAATTATTTTCATGTTGTCTTAACTTTGGATACAAAGTTACAAACATAGTATGTGTCATTCTATGATTAAGAAGGAGATACTAAAACTAAATACATTCTATTTTCCCTCCATTTTGTCTCTTCCGGCGATGGTAAGCTACCCACAATGCGAACTCTTCGTTCAACTTCTTCCCCAAATGCTCGCGCATTGGTAATTGTTACGCTCCTTCTGGACACAACGTTTGTGCGCGATACGCACGAGAGAATCACAGTGAATTCAACCCTTCTGGACAAGCTCTAAGTTGACAAAATTTTACCGCAATTTGATAAACGGTATTTTAGTGCATAAAATACGAACAAACAAACATTATTTTTTATTTATTAAGATTAGTTCTATTCTCAAAACACAGCACCTCAGTGGCGACGGCGCTCCGGTCCTCAATAGGCGGCATGTTCCAGAAGACGAACCCCACCACAGTCTCGTCGCGCAGATACATTAACATTCCACGTTTGTATCTGTTCTTGTATTCGTCGGTCCTTAACAATAAAGAGAAGATCAAAAATAATAATTTATTATACTACATCATTAGTAAACACCAGTGACCCTTCGCACTGGTGATTCCTGGGTCTCGACAACAGCGCCACCTATCGAGTCCTAATATGAATCTAAGCCATCTAGAGACCCATTCACACAAGAAATTTCATCAAAATCAGTCAGCCGTTTTGAGTTTTAGCGAGACTTCGGACAACAATTGATTTTTATATATAGAGATTTCACGTTCTTACCACTGCTCTGGACTTCTTTGTTGCTCTAGTCATCCCGTGTCAGTCCAAAATCAGTTCTCGGGTTTTGCTGTCAAGAAATTCTCATGCGGTGTTTCACATCCGTGCTTCTAAAAGCACGTAAAGCCGTCGGTCCTGTGCCTGATCTCTCCATAGTTGTGTCGGATTGCCGTTCCATTGCACGATGAGAGTGAGGGAATAGAGAGTACACCTATGCTTGCGCATACACTCGTGCACTATAATCTTTACCTGGGCATATCTCTAGTCTGCGTTGAGACAGGGCGCTGTGGTAGACATTATTTCATTCTTAAGACGAATTTGTTTGTGACGTAGTAGCCACGGTATAGCGTATTATAGCTACAGCACAGAAGTTTTGTTTTGGTAGCTCGCAAAATTATTATTATTGATTTTAGAATCAACTCAACTACTCAACAATTGATATTAATTGAACGAAGTAGAACTTTATACTTCTTGTAACAAGGTCGATCACCGCTTGAACTTTCAACGGCCTGAGTTTTCTTCGCCATCTCCTCCGCAGTACACTGCTTGAAGATACCAATCGTAGGCATGCACGCTCCTACTTCCCCTACCACCTGAGGAATTAAGTTGTTACACTGATATCAATACCGTGTTGTTGTGGCGTAAAATAGAATAGTATAGAATAGCATAGATTAAAACTGAATAAAATGGAATGGAATAGAATTGAATGGATTGAACGGAATTGAATATAACTAATTGAAGTTGAACAGAATTAAATGGAATGGAATAAGCGGTAAAACAAAGAATTTTGTACAACCGACTTCAATACAAATAAAATGATAACATCATCAAAGTAGTCGAAGTATTTTTAACGTGCTAAATCCAAATTCGAGCACGTCAAAAATTCTTGTTATATTCGAATCGCAAGGAGACTTACGCACGCATACATTGAAACAACTGTCCCCTATATTTAATATACTATACCTAACTAAACTTGATACTTGCTCAGGCTTCTACAAAGGAAAAAAAATGGAGCGCTGCGTATATTTTAAGTGAAGCCAAAACCATGCTAAACTTCTTGACAGGCACTCTTGCATACATCTTTTTTCTTTCTTTATCAGCCCAAAGTTTACTGATGGACGCACACATGAATGCACCTAAAACCATGTTAATGGGTGCGTTTGGCAGAAAGAAGAGCTAGCAAGCGCTTGTAAGCAAAATGGCGAAACTAAACAGTTTTCGGTCAGGACACGTTTGCTAACTTCAGTAGCGCTGACACAATCCGCCATTTTGCTTATTTAATTTTTTTGTTTTGAAGTAGAGTTTATAAGTTGTTTTGTGCAATATTAGTTTTAAGTAATATAGTGACATGAATAAACATATACATGTTATTAAAAATTCATGATTGATAAGTTTTTAAAATGAATACTTTACAAACATATATTTAAATTAGGTTAGGTACCCCGGTTAAAACTAACTTCGTGTCCTAGAGGAAAATAGCTACTTACGATTTGACAGCGCTTACCGCTTATGATCGCCATTTTGCTTACAATCGCTTGTTAGCGCTGCATTCCTTGACGTCTTGTCGGTATGAAGAAACTTAATTTCACAAGTATTGAATAAATAAAATGATAAAATTTTTATAATATTAAATTGTGTAAAATTGTAATATGGAACCCGAAGTAATATTGATAATACTTCGGGTTCCATATTACAATCGGATCATGGGCATTTCACTTCCAAAAAACCAGGTTCATATTTGCCGCCTGGAGTAACACCTACAAATAAAAATTTGAGATATATTTGTAATCTAGAGTCATGTATGTTAACATTTAAAGCCTTTTTTGTCTCTCGAGACGCTTTACGCTCATTGTTCTTGAAATTTTTTAATAGATGGCGTATTGCTTATATCGGAGCCATCCCGTAATTGCTTAACAAGAAGAGCACAGTTGATATTTTCAACCATGAAGATGTCAACTTTTCTTCTAGTTTTCAAGAGCGAATTTGCACTTTGTATACACGTGCTCCTTTCTATTGGGGACTTCACCAACTGTAATATAAGGTCGCGTATTTCTGATATAAGCGTAGGTATTGGTATACCTGTCAGCAATCAAATGTGAATAAATGTGTCCGTGGTCTCATAGACTTGTTGAACTCAAAAAAAATCCGGAATGACGTACGATCTGGTGGCTTAATTCCTTTGTTTTCTGATCGGTAACATGTGACGGATATTACTTATTCACTCCATAGTACAGGATTTCTTTACTGGTGCTGGTCATCAATTGTCGCAGCATCAGAGGAAGCATCCGTATGAACTTTTACTCACCATGAGTCAGCAATTACGGCTATCATTGATATTACTTGAGGCGACATATTTCTGATGAGTTTCGCATGCTCCACCTCTTCGTTCCTAGCCTTACATATACAATTCTCCGCCATTTGTTCTTATCACGTGCAATCTTAATTAAGCGTTACTTCACACAACCGCAGAAGTAAGGTGAGATGTCTTCATAGGCAATAATAATATGTGGGTAGATATATTCAGCACCAGTGGATTTAATTCTATGATATAAGTCCACTGCTTAATTTACATTGCTTGCCATAGTTGCAACTCTTGTCACACTGATCCGGTAAACTTACACGTACATTGACATTAACGCACGTGTTTGTCCCGGGCACTTCATTTGCCTTTTGTTTTATGATCTGAGAGTATGGCCACTTGCAATCTACATAAATTCATGAGACGTAGCACCGTTTTATAAATATTTTACTCGACGCCAAGACAAACATCAAGATGTAGACGTAGAATGTTCACACTTCTATCTGCAGTTCGTCCTCAAAGCATAGCCAGAAGTGCAGTGGTGCGTTGTGACCTTCGGAGTTTAAGATGGAATACCTCATCACTTTTGATAGACATAATTCCACTGTGTTAAACGTAGTCCTCCCCCATAGATTGTCTCCCTCCCTTTAATATTAGCCATAGTTTCCAGGCGTGGCAGGCGACATCACAAAAAGTTCCTCACGCAAAAGTATTAAATAAATAAAAGTTGTCACTCTATCAGAAAATAGCAAGAAGTAGTAGCCAGCGTAAAATAGCAGCTTAATACTGCTGTGTTTTATATGGTGAATGAAGAAAACCTGAGAACCATTGTCCTGGAAACGAGGCATTCCATCTTAGTCCGCACGGGTTACAACGCGTCTGCATTTTGATTCTTTATCAAGGTTAGATGTAAATGTCTATGGGCCACAGCATCAACTTAATGTCAGATGAAGTGTACTTGTTTGTCAACTACGTTCTATAGAAAAAGAGTAAAATGCAGGATTTTCACACCTCCATCTGCAGTTCGTCCTCGAAGCGTAGCCAGAAGTGCGGTTCTATGTTGCAGGGCTGCCAGTAGCCGGTCATATTGGCGCCCGCCACGTGGCCCAGCTCCTCCGCGTTTAGGTAGTGATCCAGGCGCATCCGAGTGTCCTTCCACTGTGAGTAGAAGCTGGCCGCGTCTCCAGCCTTCGAGTAAGAAGAACGCGTATGGAATTTTATAAGATGATAGCGCGACGCTGTAGCTATATTATGATTGCAGCACGAATGGTTTCGCAGGTCCGGTGGAAAACCACGCATTCAAAAATACCAACTTAAAATAGCTGCTTTATCCTGTTGTGTTTCATATAATGAGTGTAAAGAACTAGAGACCCTTTTACTCCAGATGAGGCATTCCAAATTAGTCCATGGGGGTGACAATGCATCTGCATTTTGATTCTTAATCGAGGGCCCACAGCATTCACTTATAATCAGGTGGACTGTTCACTCAATTGTCACCCTTATTCTATAAAAAGCGTTCGGAGGTAAAGAAGAATGTCGTGAGTAACGCTACATATTTGAGATATCAAAAGAAAATTTGAGGACGTTTGAAGTCCGCTAACATGAGTTGTTGCACCGTGGTCGATTCTTCCTCACAATGCAACCGTCTCAGGAGCGACAGTAAAGACACTGACCGTGAAGCTTTTTGAAAAGTGAATCAAATTTAAAAAAAACTGATCATAATTTTTTAGTACTAGCTGGGTTACAGAATCAGTGGGGTAAATGGACGTGAGGTTGGTTAAAACTACTTTTTTAGTTCTTGTTTTTAAAATCCTCTTAAAAACTTTGTTTCCTTTTGAAACATATAAAAAAACGTACAGTGAATTATAAGTCTCCTCCATTTTTGGAGTCGGGTAAAAATTAAAGATATCCTAAAAGGAAGGATGATCATAAATGAGCGTCTCAGATGACACCACGTTTACGTGGTAGTGCCACGCTTCAGCTATATTATGGTTGTAGCACGAATAGTACGACAGAGGCAGAACAATGCTCTCACAGAATAACAGCGTAAAATAGCATTTTATGCTGCTGTGTTTCGTAAAATGAGTGTAGAGGACCGGAGGCCCTTTTTACTGGAAACGAGGCATTCCATCTCAGTCCTCAGAAGTGACAACGCATCTGCATTTGGATCCTCATAATAGGATAAATGTAGATGTATATGGGCCACAGCATTCACTTACCGTCAGGTGGACTGTGTGCTTGTTTGTAAGTCTTATGCTATATAAAACAAGAGGTATGAGCATCGATATAAATGACTTGATATGATCGTGCGAACAAAAAATTTTCACGCTTTAAGCAAAAATCAGCGTCATCTCTTAAATACTCATGACCACCATACCACGGAACTAGTGTTTCCACTTATGATTTTGGTTTTATCCTAGAAACTCTAGAAATACTCTTTAAATTATCATAAAAAATCAAAATAGCTTTATTTATTGCACCTAATTTTCAATATTTTATAGAACAACATCATTGCAAGACTTTAATATCATTACACGATTAAAATTCTTGAGTTTTGTGATGAAGAAGACGTTCTCATTTTCAAATTATAATAACACCAGCCCTCTGAGACTCTTGCTGTCTGCGTTAAATAATTACCTACAATCGTGAGGCACCCAGGGTAACACACGCAGTCGGGCTAGCTCATTGTAGGCGATTGAATGTTAAAGTTTTTTTAACGCTGTTTACGTCAATAGTTTTTTTATAAATACTTGTTGAAATTGTTTTTGTTTAGAGTTTAGTATATTTAATTGTAGGACAAAATAGTTGAAAAAGTTTTAATGTAATTTAAAAATTATATATATTATGTTTATTACCTACTACTACTATTTTATTTATTTTTTATTTTATAGGATAGGGTGACAAACGAGCACACAGTCCACCTGATGGTAAGTGGTTGTTGCGGCCCATAGACTTATATAACTGTTGCATGGATAGATGCTAAATGACCAACAAAAGGTTTCATATCATTCTTTAAGTTACCGAAGGATTTTAGAAGGAGGTTGTGAAAGGTGAAACTATTTTTTTTTTTGTTAGATGGGTTCTTACATCAAAAATAATTGAGTAATAATTTGATCTACAGAAGAAATACCTAAGTACCTTATTACGAAAATTAGTTAAAATTTACTTCACTATTCAAGTATCTACTTACATTACATAATATTTATTTTACTACTACTATACTATACTTGTTTTTTGTAACACAAAATGCTGAATTTAAGACTTTGTTTACTAACGAGATTCTTAACTAAGTGGAATACGATCACATTTCTCTTAGGAATCGTATTTCAGGTTTATTTGTTGTTTCTTCCAAGCTAAGCATCGCGATTCCCGACGAATGGCTTTATAAGTTGCATGCGTTGGGCATCGCAGAACTCACATAGGTGCGAAAATATGGTCGGTCGATCATAGTCAGAATAGGTACTTCACCTAGGTAACTTAATTAACATTTCACAGTGTATTTTTTTACTCTTTATTGACATCCCTTAGTAACCACGGAAAGTACGCCATGACGTAGGAAGGCAAAAAGATGCAAAGTAATGTAGACACTCGCGATAAAGTTTTATTTAGTTTACGTGCGCGATTTATCTAATTAATAATAGTTATGTATACTATTAAATGTCAGCAAGCAGTCAACATCAAAGGAGTGCAAATTCTGTACGTAGTACTATTATTTATTCTGTGATAACACTTAGTCTCATATGAATAACGAATATGTATCTAAGTAAAATATTATACCATTATTCTGATACACATACTAAAAAAGTTTTTCATTCTACACTTTTCCAGCTCTTTTGAAGTCCCTATCCCCTTCGACAAATGTTTAAAAAAAACTATATTGGATGGGTATAAAAAACAGGGTTACCTGAAATTCGATTTTACCCCAAATTATCCAAAACCCTGTCAACTTGAAGAAACGCTTAAAGCCCTACCTATATTAGTAGATTTACCCTAAAATAGTGCAAAATATCTAAAATTGGAAACACTGCACGGATGCACGGCACGCATTGGTACTCGATTTGGTGCTCTATAAACATTTTTGCACCAAGGAGTTCGTGACATTTTGTTTGTTCAATGACCCGGTCCATACGCAGTAGTATAATAAGTCTATAGCTATAAGTACAAATACATAATAATAGGTTGGGGAAAGGTTTAAATACTTAATTAAACAAAAACTGTATAAAAAGGGTTATTATGCTATAAATGAATATATGGTTAATAATAACCCCTAGGAATGAAGTGGTCGCTTCCAAGCTATTTGTAAAATAAATTTTGTAAATATTATGTGACCATTGACATTGTAAAATTTATTTTTAAAAAACTCCCGCTGTGTTTCTTGCTGGTTCTTCCCACGACAGAGGTTTTTTTTTCGAACCAGTGGTGAAGTAAAAAGTTGACTTTCAATAAGAATTACTTGTAATCTATATTGAATAAAATTATTCTATTCTATGAGCTTTTACCGCCGGGCAAAAAAAATAATTCCAATCTCTACTGCCAACAACTAATGAGACTCCAGCAAGAAATTGAGAAAGAACGACCGGAATTGATCAACAGAAAAGGAGTAGTCCTTCAACATGATAACTCCAGACCACACACATCTTTGGCCACTCAACAAACTTGAGAGAGCTTGGTTGGGAAGTGTTAATGCATCCACCATATATTCTAACCTTGCACCCTCAGATTTTCACCTATTTCAGTATGTTCATTCTTTGGGTAGTGTTAGGTTAACATCAAGAGAGGACTGTCAAAACTATTTGTCGCACTTTTTTGACCTAAAATTCCAAGATTTCTACAGCAACGGAATTATGTCACAATCTTTAAAATGACAACAAGTTATCGAATAAAATGGCACATAATATATACTATAGTTAAATTTAATTAAAATATGAAAAAAATATCTTGAATTTGTAATATAAAACACGAAGAAACTTGTTCCTTGACCTATTGTGTGTATGTAAATAAAGTTGAAGTACATATATTTAATGTGAAACTTATTAAATTGTTTGCTTTCAGTTATTTTCTGTATGTACAACATGTAACAAGGCCCCGTGGTTTCCGTTAAGTGCGTTATCAGAACCAGTATTCAATGGTATATATATATATGTGGTGTGTGTGTGTGTGTGTGTGTAACTTTACTGCAGAAAAATCGATCATAAAAATTTTATTTAAATAAAATAATTTTTTATTAGCAAATTGTATGTGGGTTTATTAAATTTGGAACAGCTGTCTTTGACAATACCCTTATCCCTGGATATGGGTATTGTCAAAGTTTATAATATATGGTTGGCAAATGAGCATATAGTCCACGTGATGGTAAGTGGTTGTTGTGGCCCATATACATCTACGTCTATCCTCGATAACGAATCAAAATGCAGATGCGTTGTCACCCGTGAAGAGTAAGATGGAATGCTTCGTTTCCAGTAAAAAGGGTCTCCGGTTCTCTATACTCACCAAACGAAACACAGCAGCGTTAAGCTGCTATTTGACGCTGGTATTCTGTGAGAGCATGTTATTTCTGCAGTCGAGCAGACCCAATCGTGCCTGCAGCATGGCTCTGCCACGTAAAATGCCTATTTCCTAGTTTGCTTCCCTTTGTCGCCGCTAAGTGGGTATCTTTAAAAGGATCTCCACTTCTTGTCAATAACCATATAGAGCAGTGTAATGATAATATAAGGCTTACCACGTAAAGATGATTCCTCGCCTCCAACTCGGTGTTGACAAGGAATCCGCCATTTACTTCGTCCAACTCCAGTTCCGAGGGCTCCGCCAACTCCACGCTAGGTTCAGCTCCCACTGCCACGAAAGCCTTGAGCGAATCGTTACACTCGTGAATATCGATATTCATACTATAAACACTAAATTGGAAACTATCTATTCCGCAGGTGCCGTTTATTTGTGAATTCTAAAAAGTATAATGTCCTCCAGACCGAATCTAACCATCTACGAAGGACAGGAACACAGCACTCTCTATTCTCTTACTGTCATAGTCTGATGGGACGGTAATACGACAGGAACGAAGAGAGATCAGGCGCAGGACCAACGGCTTTACGTTCTTTCCGAGGAACGGGGATGTAACATCGCAAATTTGACTGCAGGCAGCCTGCAGTCAAATTTGCTTAATCCTTTTTAATTCACACCATTCTGAAAATTCCTTATTAGAGGCGTCTATGGGATAAGCTTAGAAGATATTAAGGCTTCCGATAGATGGTGCTATAAGCAACTTATTTACGCCAGGCGTAACATTACCAGACTGCCGAATTAAAAGCTCCGTCAAAGATGTGAAAAATGTGTTACACGTCTTAACCTTATTAAGACGTCAAGTGCCTTACCGTGTAGAGGTAGTGTAAGTATATCCACTACCCCATATTATCCTGTGAGTGTCATAAGAGGTGACAAAGGGAAACTAATCAGAACAGTTGATACGTAGTAGAGCCACGCTGCAGCTATTATATTATTATGGTTGTAGCACAAATGGGTCACCTTGACCGGAGAGGACCACGCTCTCACAGAATACTAGTGTAAAATAGCAGCTTAATACTGCTGTGTTTCGTATGGTGAGTGTAGAAATCCGGAGACCCTTTTTTACTGGGTACAAGGCATTCCATCTTAATTCTCAGGGGTGATAACATATCTGTGTTTTAATCGAGGATAGGTTTAGATGTCTATGGGCCACAGCATCCACTTACAATCAGGTGGACTGTGTGCTCGTTTCTCACCCTTATCCTATAAAAAACGGTTTCCCATAGTCACCTCTTACGAAACCCACGAAATTCTCTACGCTGTCACCAATAGCTAAAGCGTAAACATAATGTATACCAATCTATACAAATAAATGAAATTGAAGAGTATGTTTGTAATATCAAAATAACAGCTTTTTACTGAATCCATATGAAAGTAAATGCGGTACTTATTACAAAAACATAATTTTTAACATTTTTGACTGTCTGTCTATCCGTCTGTTTGTTCCGGCTAATCTACGAAATGGCTGGACCGATTTTGACGGAATTTTCACTGGTAGATAGCTGATGTTATAAGTAGTAACTTAGGCTATTTTTATTTTGGAAAAAAAGTTATAATTCCGCTCAAAAAAATTAAAACCCTAAATCACAGGAAGAAAAAAAAAACAATAATCAAACAAGCACAAATTAAAACTAAAAATAAACATTTTTAATTTTTTGCTTAATCAGATTATGTCAAATCGCGTACGTAATCTGTGACAACAGAGGATCCGTCAGATAGCGTGAGCTTCAGCCGACCGTCCGCAGACTGGAAAGCGTCGTAGACTTGAGCTGGAACAAAATAAGAATAATAACGTCATTTGTCTTTTATTTTATTATAGAATAAATATAAAGTTGTGTATTTAAAACTTAAAGTATACATAAGCATGGCTTATTTATGTACACTTTAAGGTATAAAATTTTATCTACAATCGAAATCCCTTGTAGAGTCTCTCAAGGAGCCCATTTGGGCCTCTTTTTTATATCATCATAACGTCAACTAATAAAAAATTTAAGACTGTATTACATAATTGAACTTTTGAAACTGTTATAAATTACAAAATTAAAATATTTTTTGACATTTTTAAAACGATTGTAAATTATAAAACTCGAAATGATTTATGTATGATTTTTTCTTTGCTCTGAGTCCTTAGCCAAACTCAAATTTTTTTGTTTATTCGCGGTAATAAAATTAAGGCACACAGACAATCACCTAAACTCAAACTTCATAATGACTTAATTTTGGGTAAGATAATATGGTTTAGATTCAAGTTAGGACACGGAGCTTGAGTTTGAGCAGCTCGAGGTTGCTCTGAATACTGGCCTTACTCTTAGGTTTGACGGTGACTCCCTCGTTCTTGATCTTCTCTGCGGCCCACTCGCCGAGGTACTCGGGCAACACACCGGCCATGATGCCCTTGTCTTTGTAAATGTGCACTATCTCCAGCGGCTGCTTTTCAGGATCCACATCCAGATCCATTTTATCTGGCCGGGGAAAAAGTTTCCTCATATTTTGTTTGTATAAAATTCAAGAAAAATGTCTTTGGTTGAACTGTTTATTTATGGCTGGTTTTAATATCAATACATTTAGGACATTAAGAAAACGAAAATAAGAAGTAAAAAACACTTTCCCGCCATTTTTCCCGACCTCCCAGTACCAGACACCTTGCACTTTTGACGCTGCTCGCCATCGTATTTTACGTCTGGGATAAATGAAGTGGTTATACCCCCGAGAGGTGTTATGCTGCCTGACCGGATATTGAATGAAGTTTTCGTTAAAACACTTGAAGTTATGTTAAAATTACTACCCCTACTATTACAGCCTATAACAGTCCACTGCTGAACATAAGCCTCCCCCATATTGCCACATAGGGGGGATTTTTCCATAGTTACCACGCTCGGCATGCGGATTGTCCACCACTATTTATTGCTATTTTGTGTTGTCAGGAAGATGCTGCTGCCCATCACCTGCTTCAATTCCTCTGTCGACTCTTAGGACGCCCACGGGGTGATATGGGGCAGTGGATATTCTCATACTGCCACTACACTGTAAAATGTAAAACTTTTTTACGTGGTAGAGCCACGCTGCAGCTATATTGTGGTTGCAGCACGAATGAGTCGGCTCGACCGAAGTAGGACTACGCTCTCACGGAATACAAACACAGCGTAAAATAGCAGCTTGATGCTGCTGTGTTTCGTATGGTGAGTGTAGAAAACCGGAGACCCTTTTAACTGAAAACGAGGCATTCCACCTCAGTCCTCAGGGCTGACAACGTATCTGCATTTTAATTCTTAATCTAGGATAAATGTAGGTGTCTATGGTCCACAGTATCCACTTAACAACAGGTGGACTGTGTGCTCGTTTGTCACCCTTATTCTATAAAAAATGCTATGCAATATTAAATGTTATAACGTTAGACACGTTATGTTAATGACTGTCTCATCAAGGTCGTAAATGCGATTCTTAATGATGAGGCCCATAGTTCGAATCCTAGATCAGACCGAAAACCATTTATTGAGTTTTTAAGTCAAGATATTCTCAGTTGCAGCCCCGCAATGTTTTACCCCCGTGCCTCGGAAAAACCGTAAATTCCTGTAGCGTCCTGTGCCTGATCTGTTACCGGTCGTGTCGGATTGACCTCCTATAGGACTATGAGTTTTAAAAAAAAATAGAGTACACCTGTGCTTGCGCATTCATTCGGACTCTAATAATCCTGTCCTGCGCAGAAGGACTCGAGTTTAGACTGGTCGACGACCAGTTATTTGTTAATGAGTTTGCATCCGTCGCGATTAAGTTGAATACGTGCACTAAATAATTGTAAAAGTATAGAGATTTCTGTGCGCAAAATGTTAACGCCATCAGAAATATACAGTTGTACCGTACACTGCTACCAAACGACCACAACGCAACTACGATTAAAGAATACTAAACACTTACTTAATACTTCTTATTCGTGGTAGGGCCACGCTGCAGCTATACCTATACTATAGTAGGAGTACGAATGAGTTGGCTCAATCAGGGTAGAACTACATCCTTACTGAATATCAGACACATAATATCATAAAATAGCAGCTTAATGATGCTGTGTTTCGTATGATGAGTGTAGAGAACCGGACATCATTTTTACTGGATAAGAGGCATTCTATTTTAGTCCTCAGGGGTGAAAACGCATCTGCACTTTGATTCTTAATTGAGGATAAATGTAGTGGGGTCTAGTCGAGTCTATGGACTACTGTAACCACTTACCATCAGGTTAACTGTGTGCTAGTTTTACTCTTATTCTATTTTTTTTAATCCAGTAAAGGTGTTAATAGTTAATCATAGGTAACCTATACTTACTCATCCTACCCAAATGCCAAGCCAATTCACATCCAAGAGGACCGCCTCCTATGATCGCAACGTGCTTAGCCGCCTTAACACTTCGGTACGCGATCTCCAAGTCCCTGATGGTGCGTAGGGTGCAGACGCGATCACGCACCGGTTTCGGGGCCGATTTGAACATGGACAGTTGCTTCGGTTTTGAACCTTGTATTTTAAATACGATTATTGTCAAAAGCTGAGATGATTACTGCGCTTTATCATATATCTAATGCGGTCGTGTATACACATTAGGAAGTAAGTCACGCTGTGGTTCTATATATCAATAGTTGCAGCGCGAATGGGTCAGGTTAGCTCGACCGGGGAAGGGCCACGCTCTAGAAGAATTGCAGCGTAAAATAATAACTTGATGCTGTTGTTTTGGTGCTTTCATATGATGATTGTAGAGAACCGGAGACCGTCCTCACCTTACAGTTGAGTTGTGATACCGTCCAACGTCCAATATAATTTCAGGTCCACCAACGGTGGTACCGACTATAAAAGCAACGTCATCATCACATCATCACAGCCCTTCACAAGTCCACTGCTGAACATAGGCCTCCCCCAAGTAATGCCACAAAGCACGGTCCTGAGCCACCTGCATCCATCGATTTCCTGCATATCTTACCAGGTCGTCACTCCATCTAGTGGGGGGTCGCCCTACACTACGCTTACCGGTACGAGGCTGCCACTCGAGAACCTTTCTTCCCCATCGGTTATCGGTTCTTCGAGCTATATGGCCGGCCCATTGCCACTTCAGCTTACTAATCCGTTGGGCTATGTCGGTCACTCTGGTTTTACTGCGGATATCCTCATTTCTGAGTCTATCACGCAGAGAAACTCCGATCATAGCCCTCTCCATAGCTCGCTGAGCTTCCTTGAGCGTCCTCATACGGCCAGCAGTGAAGGACCACGTCTCTGATCCGTAAGTCATCACTGGCAACACGCACTGGTTGTACACTTTAGTTTTCAGAGATTGAGGTATACCTGACGAGAAGATGTGTCGTAATTTCCCGAACGCTGCCCAGCCGAGTTGGATCCGTCGATTGACCTCTCGGTCGAAGTTGGACTTACCTAGTCGGACTATTTGTCTCAGGTAAACGTACTCGTCAACAAATTCGAGCATAGTGCTCCCAACAACTACCGGCATAGGTGTGACATGGACATTAAACATGATCTTTGTTTTGTCCATGTTCATCTTAAGACCGATCAGTTGGGAGGCACTATTGAGGTCATTGAGCATAGTGCTTAAGTTCTCCAGCGATTCTGCCATAAGGACTATATCGTCGGCAAATCGAAGGTGAGTGATGTACTCGCCATTGATGTTAATACCGTATCCTTTCCAGTCCCGTAGCTTGAAAACGTCTTCCAAAGCAGCGGTGAAGAGTTTCGGGGATATAACGTCACCCTGTCTTACACCTCTCCGCAGTTGGACAGGTTTCGAGCTCTGGTTCTGTACTCGGTTAGCCATCGTAGCACCGCCCAAATTTCGACGGAATCAAAGACTTTCTCATAGTCCACATACGCCAGGCAAAGTGGCAAATTGTACTCTTCAGTCTTCTGTACAATCTGCCGCAGGGTATGTATGTGGTCTATGGTACTGAAGCCTTTTCGGAAACCGGCTTGTTCGGGAGGCTGGAATTCGTCGAGTCTACGTGCGAGACGATTCGTAATGACTCTCAAAAACAGCACGTAGACGCGGCTCAGAAGGGAAATCGGTCTGTAGTTCTTCAAGAGAGCGTTGTCGCCTTTCTTAAAGAACAAGACCACCGCAATTCTGCTCCACGCCTCTGGAGTAGTGCCACCATTGAGGACGAAATTGAAGAGCTTCTGAAGGACTTCAAGTACCGGTGTTCCACCCGCTTTCAGAAGCTCCGCTGTAATTCCATCCTCACCTGGGGCCCTGCCGTTTTTAAGGTGCTGGAGAGCCATTCTAATCTCGCTTATACTGACATACGGGATATCAACGGAATAGCGTCGGATAAGACTTGCTCTTGGATCGTTACTCACACTTGCGTGTGGCTCCAATGATGATGTGTACAGCTGCCCATAGAACCTCTCAATCTCACTCAAAATCTCAGGTGTCCCGGAAACGATGCTGCCATACTCAGTCTTCAGCCTTGACAGTTGGCTCTTACGGGCAGACAGATCTCTGGCAAAGACTTTGGAGCCCTGGTTCCGCTCGATCGCTTCTTTAATACGAGCAGTATTAAAGTTGCGTAAGTCTCGCCGCATGCATTTGGAGATCTGTCTGTTCAGTTGCCTGTATGCTGTCAAATCTGTTGACGATTGCAGCCTCATCTCCCGTCTAACAGCCATGAGATTAAGAGTGTGATCGGAGAGTTTTTGTGTTCTTCTGCGGCGGGTCTTGCAGAAATTAGCTCCGACCGCATGGACAGTTTCCACGAGCTTGTCATTCATATCGTCCACTGCATTGCAATCTTGTAGGCACTGAAAGCGGTTGTGTAACTCGAGCTGAAAGTTTTCGGGATTTTGGATTAGAGCACGAGGGGGACGGAGCGTTGACTTCATTAGACGAGACCTTTCCAACTTAATGTTTAGGTTCAGTGTGCCTCTAACCATTCGGTGACCGCTGCCAGTTTTCACCCTTGCGATCACTGAGACATCACTGAACAGTTGGCGTCTGGTCGTCATAATGAAGTCAATCTCATTTTTTGTCGAACCGTCGGGGCTCGACCAGGTCCACTTCCTGTGGGGCCGCTTCTGGAAGAAAGAGTTCATCATAAAGAGTCCCTCTTTCTCCATAAAGTCGGCCAGCTGCTGGCCCCTTCGGTTCCGTTGCCCTACTCCAAATTTCCCTAACTTCAGCTCACCGTTTTCTCTTGTGCCTAGTTTTGCGTTGAAGTCTCCCATCAACACCGTGTAGTGGGTTTTGGAGGAATGCATGGCGTTGGAAATATCCTCATACATTTCCTCCACCTACTCATCGGAATGTGCCGAGGTTGGTGCGTAAACCTGTATGACCTTCAGCGAATACCGTTTGGTGATTCTGAGTATCAGGTACGCGACCCTCGTCAATACACTCCCAATCTTTAAAACGTTGTTAACGAGAGACTTGTGGACGATAAATCCAACACCTCCTTGGGACAGATGGTCGCCCTCCCGGTGATAGAACAAGTTGCCGGATTCGAGAATCACCGTGTCCTCCCCCTCTCTTCGGACCTCGGATAATCCTATAATATTCCAGCGCAACTTGTCTATCTCTTCTTCAAGCTCCAGGATCTTCTCGTCAGTCCTCAGTGTGCGTGTGTTAAATGCTGCCAGGTCGAGTCGTCGTAGGTGGCAACCGAACCTCCACCGGAGATTCTTAGCACCCCCCTGCCCCGCCGTTACCATGGTCGCCACCGTAGCCAGGAATAGCGGGGCCGCCGGGGACTGGGGGCCGTCTATTTGTGTAATTGTTCATGGGAGGTATATTGCCATAGTTGCCATGCTAGGCGAGCGGGTTGGCAACCGCAGTTTTTTTCTGTCGTACAGTTGCTGTTATCAGGAAGATGCTGCTGCCCATCTCCTGCCTGTATCCCTCTGTGACCCTTTACGACACACGGGAAGATATGGGGTAGTGGATATTCTTAACCGCCACTACACGGCATAAAAGCAACGTATTACTATCATTTTCATCATTGATACAGACCTACACAAGTTCACTTCTGCACATTGCCAAATTTCTAAACACCAAAGAATGTCACAATGCACAGTCCTGAGCCACATGCATACATCGACTTCCTTCATCTCTTACTAGTAGGTTTGCCGGATCGTTAAACCAAAATATCTGGACAAATTTTGAAAAAGTTGGGACTTTGGGGTTGTTGTCGGGAAAAATGTACATTAAAAATAAAAAGTTCTTTTTTATTAACAGGCTACAAAAAGTACTTTAAAACAAAACTTACTTAAGTACACTTAATATTTATATTGCTACGTGTATTTGTCATTGGATTTTACTATAGTCATCATCATTTTAAATGATGATGGACTATAGTAACATAACATTAACGTTATACTTCATAACATGTTTTCAGTAATCTAATATCAAAAGCTTAGTCAAAACAATTTAGGATTAACAGGTTTTAACGATTCAAAGAATATTATCATAAATGAACCTTCAACGAATATTATCATAAAATAACTAAAACACCAATATATCCCATCATCCTTCTGTCCAATTGCAAACATCCTTATTTCGAAGTTTATGCCTCAGTAAAGCTTAGAGCATAGCCCTCTTCATAGCTTGTGACCTCTAAGCGACCTTGAGCCGTTTGAGAATCTAAACAGAATTCAGTATAAAACAAATAAAAGTTTGGTGTATTAACTTAAAAGCGGAATATCCTAAGGACTGCTTGCCCACCTGGTGCTAGAAGACACCGCTCGTAGTAAATAGGCTGTTCTCCACACTGGGTCTTCACCCACGCGACGTGGTAGTCAGCGTCAACACGCTGTACACAATAACCGGTCGCGATCGAGACCGCTGGTCCGGACTTCGTGCGATAGAATTTCACCGGATCCATGAATTTGTTGTATTCCGACAGATACATGCTAAAAAGATAAAAGATCTTCGTCAATTTGTTTATTCACAAAGGAGTGACAAGCGCGCATACAATCCACCTGATGGTACGTAGATGCACGGCACAAAGACATGTACATCTATCCTCGATTAGAATCTTCATGATAAACAACGATGTCTCTTTCTCTCCTGATCCGATAAAAAACATTTTTTATAAATAATATAAATGGTCTTAAACCCAATATTCCCGTTAATCACTCCAAGAGCAGTTCATGACAATAGTCAAATACCGGATTCGGACTTATGACTTTTAATAATGATTTCTTAAATTTATGCGAACACTACACATTGAATAAAATTATACATACGGATTCTATCGCGTTTAAGTTACTTATTTTAACTTATTTTTAATTCCCGACGTTTCTTGTACTTTACAGCACCCATGGTCACGGGGCGGAGAGGGGGGGCTAACTATGACATTGGGACGTCAAACATCTCAGTCCCCCCGTTATGTCGGGAATTAAAAATAGTTAAAATAAGTTTTTTAAGCGAGATAAAATCCGTATATATAGTTTTATTCAATTATGACTTTTAGGTTCGCGGTTCGTACCCTTAACTATTACTTATTGGTTACTCTAGTTTAAGATTTACTTTATTGAAGATTCAGTTTTCTAAAACTTTTTTAAAGAATATCTAGATAATAAACTTTGGCTATTTTCAATGGCACATACATATAGCTCGAAGAACCGACAACCGTTGGAGAAAAAACGTTCTCGAGTGGCAGCCTCGTACCGTAGACGAAGTGTAGGGATATCTCCCTCTAGACGGAGTGTCGAACTAGTAAGTCTTGCAGGAAGACGATGGATGCAGGGCTCAGGTCCGTGCTTTGTGGCATTCTTTGGGGTAGGCCTAAGTTCAGACTTGTGAGGGGCTGTAATGATGATGATGATGAATGACGTAAAGAGAGAATGTATCTCCTCTTGGAGTCCCTCAAGTTGGCGTCCTCTGGTCGTCATTTCTGCCTATTAAATCAAAGGTCGACTTACAAATCATGAAAATTTAAGAATTGTCAAAAAATGTCCAGTTCGGTAGCGTCTAGAAGCGGTGAAGGAAACAGCGTAAATATTTGAAGTCTTTTATTGCGCCCGCTAATCCACAACAAAGGCTCCGCGAATACGGTAAACTTTCTAAACATAAGAAGGCCCCTTTGTCGAGCAGGGGAATTTCTCTCTGACTGATTATGAGAATGTTACTATAATTTAAAATAATATTTACATATTTGGCATAAAATAAAAAAGAATGTAATAAAAAATTACTTTTAATTAAAATTATAAACCGACTTCGAAGATCTAAAAGGAATAGAATTATTTTATATTCTAAGGTCTGTGCTAAAATATAGTATGAAATAATTAAGCTACGACTTCAGAATGTGATCATGTAATTTTTAAGTTATTTTTAAATACTAGTAATCCTATTAACATTACTACTATTCGCTTTAACCACTCCTGGTAAGCTTAAAATGCTTGTGTTAGGAGTGGTTCAAGACAGTAGTCGAGTGGTGGATTCGAACCCACGACCTTTTGAGTTTACGGTCAGTTTAATTGAAATCGGCTTTTGAATTTCGCTAAGAGATAAATTCTTTTACTCTTTTGAGGAATATCAAAATCTCAATTTTGTCTAACATTGAGAACAATTTCACAACAATATACTTCTTCCCCTATTTTGACACCCTTTAAAGTGTGAAATATTTTATCCAAAAGGAATCATCAAAATTGAATCACAATTACCGAAGATATCACGTTTCATACATATAGTAACCATAGTCTTTTTTATATAGAATAAGGGTGACAAACAAGCACTCAGTCCACCTGATGGTAAGTGGATGCTGTGACCCATAGACATCTACATTTATCCTCGGTTAACAATCAAAACGCAGATGCGTTGTCACCCCTAAGGACTAAGATGGTATGCCTCGTTTCCGGTACAAAAAGGGTCTCCGGATCTCTACATTCACCATACGAAACCAAGCAGTATTTAGCTGCTATTTTACGCTGGTATTCTGTGAGAGCGTGGTCCTCCTTTCCTTCGAGCCGACCCATTCGTGCCACAACCAAAATATAGCTCTACCACATATAAAAGTCTATTTGTAAACCTGCTTCTTGTTTTGCAGTCGTCTAATAAAATAAAATAAAACAGAATATTTTAAAATAGTACGTCTTTTTCTTCCAGTCCTGGATGTAGTTAAGTTTTTCGATATCCGGTGGGTCCGGATTCCACCACATGTGCTTCGACATCGGAGGCCGGTCGTAGGGTAGACAGTCTTCTTTGGATATAAAGAACACCTTAAAATAAAATAGAAACTATTCAAAGGAATATAATAACGAATTTCTTGGCAAATATCTGAATGTTTAGCGGTCAACTAATGTGCGTTTTACTAGGAGTTTTCTTCCTCGCACAACTTCTCTGTAGAATTGTTTACCACCGGCGATTTTTCCGAACCGATACAACATAGGAACCTTCAAGAAAACAGCTTATACCTTTCTAAAAGGCCGACAACGCATCTGCAATTCCCCTGGTGTTGCGGTACTCATTTACCATCAGGTAAGCCGCATGCTCGTTTGCCCCCTATTCTATAAAAAAAAAGAAAAATTCAATAACTGATTTTGGCCCGACCCGGGATTCGAAGCCGGGACACAACTAGCAATCGCGTTAACGACCACTAAACCAACGGGGCAGTAAACACAGTTCATATTAAGGTAGACAGTGTCGATACAGCAGCAAACTAGTCGAACCACCGTTGGTCAAATATGGGCTTAGATTGGATAATTGTAAAGTAAGTCATAGGTGGTAGTGTATCACCCACACAATCAGAAACCCAATTTCCCATTGGTCGCCTATTACGACATGCTGGGCAAGTAACACAATTGGCATATTCCTTTTGATTATAGGTCCCACATTAACAACAAACTTGATCATTTATCTTGCAGAAGTAAATGACAGAGTCAGCACGGGTGCAGCGAAATGGAGTACCCTCAACCGACAAGCATGTATGCGTAGGTGTATGGACGTGAAGAAGGCGAGATATGTATGTAAGGATCGTGCCAAATGGAAGTCCGCAGTCTCTGCCTACCCCTCTAGTTAACAGGCGAGGACGTTAATGTTTATCTTCTATACAGGGTTATTTTGCAATAACCGGCCAATGTTTTTTTATAGGATTGGGTCATAAATGAGCACACAGTCCAACTGATGGTAAGTTGTTCTTGTGGCCCATAGACATCTACATCTATCCTCGATTAAGAATCAAAATGCAAATGTGTTGTCAACCGTGAGGACTAAGATGGAATGTCTCGTTTCCAGTAAAAAGGGTCTCCGGTTCTCTACACTTACCATACGAAACACAGCAGCACTAAGCTACTATTTTACGTTGGTATTCTGTGAGAGCGTGGTCCTTTCCAGGTCAAGCCGACCCAATCGTGCTATAACTATACTACTAATATAACTGCAGCATGGCTCTTGTAGGTTGAAGAAATTTTGCAGAGAAGGTTCAGAATAAATAATATAGGCAAATGGTTAAAAAAATCATTAGCAGTAATCTATATAAGTATATATATATATATATATATATATATATATATATATATACATTATATATATATATATATATATATATATATATATATATATATATATAACACACATTTGTAAGGTTATAATTATAATAATAATTTCATTTCATTATTCAGGTTAGTACACCCATTTTGCTAGTACACTTAAAACTTAAAAACCAGGGGTTTGTAAATTCACAAAATACATAAATTATAACTACACAAAAATTATTATTTATTATTAAACATATTGGGTCTGGAACCCATATGCACTATGTTCCAGTACCTCATTACCGGGCAATCTTGCCATCCATATATGGAAGCTAGGAGGCCTTTGGTGCTGTCAAGCTGCTGTCAAAAGCGTGGCAGCCCCAACAACATCCTGAATCCATTGTTGTACTGAGCACGTAGCGCATTGAGAATTCGGCGAGTACACTTCGTCCACGGGATGCAGGTGTAGAATGTCTGACAGTAGGCTTTGAATAACGTTATCTTAACTTCATTCGTACACCTAGCAAACCTGCGGGCAAGCACATTACACCTCACTGCCAACGCTCTACGTTCCCGTTCAACATCTAAATTGTCAGAAAGATCCTCGGCGACCCAGTGTTCCAGATATCTGAATTTGGTGACTCTATTCAGTGTAACTCCTCCAAGTTTAACATGAGGAACAGACTTAGGTTTTCTATTTCCAGCCTTAAACACGAGTAGTTCACTCTTATTACAATTATATTTGAGACCATGAGCCGCCGCGTACCTTTCACAGATGCCCACTAGTGTTTCGAGGGCCCTGATCGAAGGACTCAGCAAAACCATGTCATCGGCATAGCTTATATTATTAACAGAATGACCGGCAATTGAGCAGCCGACTCCGGCATCACTGAGCTCCACGATCAGAGCGTTGATGTACAGGTTGAAAAGTTGAGGGGAGCTAAGGCCGCACTGCCTCACCCCGCACTCCAACCTGTACTCCGACGAATATGAGCCAGCCCACTTCACACAGTTAGCTTGGTTGTGATACCAATACTTGAAGAGGTTAATTACTTCCTTGGGTGTGCTAGTTTCCTGGTTAAGTTTATCCCATAGCACGTTATACGAAACCAGGTCAAAAGCTGTTATATCAGTTTGTAAAACATTGCTGCTCATAAATCACATTCAATTTTGATAATTTTAAATAAAAGTAGAAGCCTTATTTACTCGTATTTTCAAAAACTGGAATCATATATCAGTATATCATTATTTATATATTTGAATACTTAGGTTATATACAAAAATCAATTGCTATGTTAGTCTTGCAAAAACTCGAAAATCGCTCAACCAAATTGATCAAGGCACGACAAGTAGGTCCCTGGATAGTTTAGAATTAGATTCTCAATTGGGCCCGGCAGGTGGCGCTGTTGTAGAGTTCCAGAAATCACCCGTGCAAAGCCGGGACGGATCGCTAGTGTTTTATAAACATACTATAAGTCCCGGATCAACATGCGACAGTGCACGCGTTACTGACATACAAGACCGTATGACTCGTACTGATGACCTTTTCTACCGTTTGAAAAAAATATGTTGTAACATGGCAATGAAGTAGAAGAATATATGGCACTAATATTTTACCAAATATTAAATCAAAAATTTGGAATTAAATAAATAAATTAATTAAAATTAATAGAAATTTAAATCATATCCACCCTACTTTACGAACGGCAACAAAGCAATAAATTCAGTCGGCATCTTCCTTCGACCTTGTCATTTCGCAGGGTCACAGGCTCAAGGGTAAAGGGCAAAGCAATTGTTCAAAAAAAAATTTAAAAAAAGAAGTCGCACGTCTAATTCTCAATTATTGGGAGAATTCTCGAGGATTCTCGTAGCTACTGTCGGCAGTCTGTAGAAATGGTTCATATCTAGTTTGCGCGTTACACAATTAACATAAGATTCATTTTACTATGTACAATTTCGTTATATAAATTCGCTCCCATTAATTTTAAATTGAGCCTTACATTACTCGGTAGTAGGGTTCCTTTTATACCTAAGTGTCTGTATAGTTTGCTCTGCTATGTTCCGGTCTTCGATCAACAATTCGAAGGTTCCGGTCTAATAGAGATTCAGTGCAATTACAGTTTCAGATTTCCATGGACTAGACTAAAGAAGTATCCATATAACTGTAAGTTGGTTTGTCATTTCACTTTAATAAATTAAAAAACTAAAACGTATAATACACAATATGTGCCCCAAAAACAGTTCCTTGAGGAAATACATAATGTAATAATAATATAATATTTTTGCATGTTTCAAAAAGGATTCATATTAAAGAAGTAGAAATCACCTTTGCCTTCTTGTCATGTTCTATGATGGACCTGTAAGCCGCCCAAGCAGCTGCTCCGGCACCAATTATGAGGTACTGTACGCAAGGCGGCAGATCTTTGTAGTGAAATGGACGCTTTGTCACGCGACGGGGACGCCCTGGAAAGGAGAGTTATCGTTACAGCCTATTAAAGTCCACTGCTGAACATAAGCCTCATCCATAGATTGCCTCATAGGGGGATATTTTCCATAACTGCCATGCTTGACAACCGCAGTTTTTGATTTTTGTCGTTATTAGGAAGATGATGCTGCCTATCTCCTGTTATGGTTTTCTGTCGCCTCTTACGACACCCACGGGATGATATGGAGTAGTGGACTTTCTTACAGCGCCATTATACGGATATTTGATATTGATTAAAAATGAAATGAAAATGGAATATGGAATGAAATAAGTATATTTTACCGCCTCATTGGCCTAGTGGAGCGAACACGATTGGCGATCACGAGGTCCCGGTCCTGTGTTCGAATCCCAGATTCGATCCCTTTTCTGTCAAGAATGCTCGGTATCCAGCCGTGCCTCGGGAAGCACGTAAAGCCGTTGGTCTGCCGACTTAGTTGACTATGAGGATGAGGAAATGAGGGAATTGAGAGTCACACACACTCAGGCACTGTAATCCTGTCCTATGCAAATGGCTAATCTCCGTTAAGACTGGCCGCCATGACCGCGATTCAGTCTGGAGGATCCATAGAAGGTTTATTAATTTTCAAATTAGTGAAGGGGGCATGACCGTATTAACATCCAACATAACAGTTTAGTGATTCAGTCACTAGTCAGTTTTTAAAGCCTTATCCTAATCCTTTTAAGTGTTAACTAATAGACTATAGAATAAACTTTAGTTTAAAAAAAGACAACATACAAATTGGAACATTTTCTCCCAGATTTTTGCGATCTTCATTCCACAGGTACAGCTTGTACATCTATAAATTATTAAATTATTTTTTTTAAATAAAAGACTTAAAATGCAGTGGTAGGGTAAGAGATAAAATATAAAATCCCATGTCACCAAGTGAATGTCGTTCGAATGAATACTAGGAAATTTCATAGACAGTTCGTTTAGATTTTGATATGGCTAACCCTTAACCCATAGAATCTGGCAGGTAGCAACGTCTGATAATACCATTGCCAATCTGCCTATCACACTCGGCGAGTATAGCAAACATTCCTTGCTACTTTCCCGGCTTTACATAGAGTTGCAGCGCTGTGGGCCCCGGATTTAAATCCAGCACGGAAAAAGTACAAGTATTTGAATGCCCTACAAATATTATTCCCGGTCCTATATTAGCCCTTGTGAAGTTTATGTTTGTAAACCGCCTCTACGATACCAGAGAAAATTCCAGTTGGGGAACTTCTTTTTTTTTATAAAAAAAGAGAATAGAATGCTTTCTTTAGATATAAAAAGCAAAGGCGTTATTATAGAGATAAAACAAGATATTACACACTAAAATGAAACCAGAAGAAAAAGGAAAGAAAGTCAAAATGAAGCCAACTACAATTCCCACCTGAGTAACGCAGTCGCACTGCTGGTCCAGTGAGTGTCGGAAAATATATACACACAACATTGTTTTGCTATAGATATTTCAGTGTGGTCCATACAATATTTTCAGGTATGTCAATTTGGACTATCACTTCCTTTAAAACGTGGTAGAGCCATGCTGCACTATATTATAGTTTTAGCACGGAACTCTGGCACTGGCACTCTCACACAAAATCAGCGTAAAATAGCAGCTTCATGCTATTGTTTCGTAGTGTGAGTGTAGTAAACCCGAGACCCTTTTTAATGGAAACGAGACATTCCATCGTAGTCCTCAGGGGTTGTCACCCCCATATTCAGCATTTTGATTCTTACTTGAGGATAGATGTAGATGTATGTAGATTCCACAGCATCCACTTACCATCAGGTGGTCTGTGTGCCCGTTTCTCACACTTATTCTATGAAAAAAAGATTATAATAATAATGAGTCAAAAAACATTTAAAAGGTATAAGCTTACCAAACCCATAATACCGAAGAATGAAGCCAAACTCCAAACATAAATCCAAGGAAAGGGTGGCGGAGGTGGAGGAGGACAAGGCGGTGGATCTGGAACTGGTTTCAGTGAACACGGACCCTTGGTGCGAGCGCATTCTAGCATGGGCTACAAGGATTCGATAATAAATAATTAAATATAACCAAGTATAAAGTCTGAAACAGAAAAGATTTTTACGTGGTAAGCACACAGCTGCCGTACGGCTATAACACGAATGGCTTGACCAAGAGAACACCACGCTTTCATAGTACCAGTGTAAAATAGCAGTATAAAGCTGTTGTGCCCTATTCTAATCTAATAATAAGGCTAATCCCTAAGGTGAAAACAAAATTAAGAGAACCATTTTACTATTAATGAGGCATTCTACATTTGTGACAAAGGATTTAGAATTTTAATTGAACGCTAAATTTCTTCTTTTTCACATTCTTGTCATATCTGCGTATTCTGTCGCATTCACCACGAGGAGTGCTAAGAGGAATTGTTTATACTAATTCCAGCCGCACAATTTCACTATCGCACATCGCGATATAACTCGAGAAATACCACCTGGATGATTAGCAGTCCATAACTGTACGATTTATAGAAAATTTTCTTCCTCGCACAACTTCCTTGTGGAATCAACTAATACCAGAGATTTTTCCGCACCGATACGACTTAGGAACCTATTCTTTCGTAAAAGGCCGACCACTCATCTGCAATTCCCCTGGTGTTGCAGTTGTTCATGGGCGGCAGTAGTCACCATCGGGTGAACCGCTTGTTTGCCCCCTTCTCACATAAAAATTAAAGACTAAAGAGATAAGATAATTACTGAGGAAGCCATAAAGCAGACAGCCTTAACCACGCTACTTCAGTTCGTGTCACAATTTTTTTTCACCGCCTAACAAGTTTTAGATGGACTTAATTGGCAATTTAAATACTTTTGGCAAAGTCAGAGCACATACAGAATTGGCGAGAAACTAGTTCGCCTTCCTTCTGGAACCCGTGCATTCTGGTCTCTCGCCAAGGCTGTCCAGGGGAATTTCTGTCAGCCATCTCTTCCATCTCTGCACAGGGAGGACGACTCACTGACCCATAACGCAAAGGAGAAAGCCGATCTGCTAGGCTCTTTCTTTGCGTCCAACTTGACTCTCGATGACGGGGGGAGTACGCCGCCGATCATCCGGCGGTGTGAGTGCTCCATGCCGGTTCGCAAAGCACTCCTCTCCCTGGACATCCACAAGTCGAGTGGGCCTGACGGAATCCCCACAATTGTGCTGAGGACGTGTGCTCCAGAGTTGGCACCGGTTTTAACGCATCTTTTGCGGTACTACTACTCCCTAGGCGTAGTCCCGAAATCACGGAAGACGGCTTTCGTCCACCCGATCCCTAAAAAAGGCGACCGCTCAGACCCGTCCAATTACCGGCCTATCGCCATCGCCTCCTTGTTCTCCAAAACAATGGAGTCTATTGTTAACTGCCAGCTCATGAGGTACCTTGAGGATCACCAGCTGATTAGTGATCGCCAACACGGTTTTCGTCGTGGTCAATCAACTGGTGATCTTCTGGTCTACCTAACTCATAGATGGTCGGAGGCAGTAGAGTCCAAGGGGGAAGCATTGGCCATTAGTTTCGACATTGCGAAGGCCTTCGATCGGGTTTGGCACAAAGCGCTTCTTTCGAAGCTCCCTTCCTATGGGCTTTCCGAGAAATTGTGCGATTGGATCACCAGATTTCTTGCAGATCGGAGCATCAAGGTCATTGTAGACGGTGCAAGCTCCGAGTATAAGCCTATTAATACTGGTGTTCTACAAGGCTGCGTGCTATCGCCAACGCTGTTTCTTCTGCATATCAATGATATGTTGCAAACCCGTAACATTAATTGCTATGCATATGAGAGCACTGGTGATACTCTGTACACCAGCCGTGCCAATATTTCTCGGGAAAACGTCTCCAAGTACCAGGACAAACTTGTGTCTGAAGTCGAGTCTCTGCTGAACAGAGTCTCGGATTGGGGGCGACTAAATCTAGTCCAGTTTAACCCCCGAAGACACAAGTTTGCGCGTTAACCGCTAAAAAGAACCCCTTTGTCGTATCTTCTCAGTTTCAAGGCACCCCCCTTGTTGCCTCAGCCAGTATCGGAATCCTCGGCGTCGACATATCGAGTGACGTTCAGCTTCGTGACCAACATAAGTGACCACTTGGAAGAGAAGGACAAATTAGCCTCTAAAAAGCTTGGCGTGCTCAGCAGAGCGGGACAGTATTTCATGCCGGCACATCGCCTGCTACTTTACAAGATGCAGGTTCGGCCGCACATGGAATACTGTTCCCATCTCTGGACTGGGGCTCCCCAGTACCAGCTCCTTCCATTTGACCGCATCCAGCACAGAGCGGCTCGAATCGTCAACGACCGAGTGCTTTCCGATCGGCACGATTCACTGGCGCTGCGAAGAGATGTTGCATCTCTTTGCATTTTCTTTCGCATATACCATGGAGAGTGCTCTGAGGAATTGTTCGGGTTAAACCCAGCCGCCAAGTTTCGTGAACGCACTACGCGGCAAACGTCTCGATGCCATCCACACCATCTGGATGCTTGGCGGTTCACGACTGTACGTTTCAAAAGGAGTTTTCTTCCGCGTACGACCTCTCTGTGGAATAGTTTACCACCGGCGATTTTTCGGGACCGATACGACCTGGGGACCTTCATGAAAAGAGCTTCCTCCTTTCTAAAGGGCCGGCAACGCACCAGCAATTCCCCTGGTGTTGCGGTTGATCATGGGCGGCGGTAGTCACTTAATATCAGGTGAGCCGCATGCTCGGTTCTATACCGGTCAGCTTACTAATGCTGCTTTGTTTGTTTGTTGAGTCTCTATACTCAACAAACAACAACAACAACCGGAGACACTGTTTATAGGTGTCGAGGCATTCCATCTCAGTACTCAGGGGTGACAACGAATTTTGTATCTGTGTTTTGATTCTTAATCGACGATAGATGTAGATTTCTATGGGCCATACACTTACCATCAGGTGGACTATGTACTCGTGTGCATGTGTCAATATATTTAATCAATGGTGCAACTGTTAGTGATCGTGTAACTTGACCATTTAAGGGTATTCACACAGTTTCATTATATCGAGACGATTGTTCATATGTTAATACCCGATAGGTGGAGCTGTAGTCAAGTTATTAAGAAATTCTATACTTATGGAACATAATGACTCATATTCACATTATAATTGTCTTAGTGTCAAAGTAGTAAATAGTAAGTAGTGGTTATTTTTTTATAGTGGTAATATATTTGTAATGTTTTTCGTGTCTCTCTCGGGAACGCGTGTTCATCTATGTACCCCAGACTTCTTCCCAGATTTTTCATACGATTTTCTCCCTCGGCTGTGTACAGTCATTTATAGAAACATAATAAAACTGGCTCAAGATACTTAGTAGACATTACTCATTAAAATATAAACATACTCCTTATGAACAGAACTATTCTTACAGAAGAGGGCCATTAGAGCAATATATAATTTAAAACCAAAAGAGTCACTGAGACAAAAATTGAAGGAAATTAATATATTAACTCTGGCCTCTCAATACATTTATGAAAATGTAATGTACGTACACAAGAATAATAGTAGTTTTGCAAAAATAAGTGATATTCATTCTGTAAATACTAGGAACAGACACAAGCTAGTAGTAGCAGTTACTCGACTCCACCGAGTCAGTAATTTATTCTTGGGGCGATGTATACGCTTTACAACAAAATCCCAAATTTCAAAAATGCCATTAAACTAAGTTTGTATAAAAAGGGTTATTATAATATTAAGGAATTTGTGGATGATAATAACGCCTGGGAAGGGTGATCGCTACCAAGCTATTTCTAATTTGTCTTGTGTTGTTAATTGTAAACATGATTATAAGCTATTATATGAAAAAAAATAGTCCCGCTGGGTTTCTTGTTGGATCTTCCCAGGACAGAGGTTTTTTTTTGCGAACCTGTGTTAAATGAAAAAATTGACTTTCAATAAGTATTGTTTATAATCTACATTGAATAAAAAAGTTTCTGTTTCTGTTTCTATGTAAAAGGTAAACGCTGAAATTAAAGAACCTTACAAGATTACAGATTTATTGAAATCTTGGCATAAAACATAGAATACTATAATACACACCTACATAATAGAACGGGGGCGTGGGCGGAGCACGTGTAGCCACTAAAATGTCACTAGCACGTCAATTCACACGTATAAATGTCAACACGAGATGTGTTTTGACGTACAATCGTTTCCAAATTTCCTATGCAAATTATTTAGAAAATGCCAAATTGCACGCTATTTACAAATAAATATGTATTAAAATATGTCTGTCAACACAGCGAATCGGGTTTGTAGTAGTGATAATACGACGTAATTGCTTGTATGTGTGCTCCCGGCGACGCCTATCGTCGTACAAAATAAGGTTGAGCCATTCTATTGTGTATTATAGTATTCTATGGCATAAAACAATTTAAAATGTAGTTAAAGCCAAAATTCCAATCGTAACGCTTTTGGAATGCTTGCAAAAACGCCCAGTGCTTCGCTTACACATCTGTGGTAGCAAAGAAATTTAAAAAAAACGATTGTAAATGTTCATTAAAAGTGTTGAATTTATCCAGGATATCAAATTACGTCTACTCAATAATGAAATTAGTGGTTGTAGAATTTATAAATTACGCAATAATATTATTTAAAACGCGGAAGGTTAATTTGATTTGAATGTAATACTAAATTACGTAATTGGTGGGCTTTAAGAGGCTATAACAGTAACGGTAACGGCATTACGTAGTAAGTTTTTGATTAGGTTTGTGATTATTAAAAATTAATTAATAATTAAAGTGAATGTGTTGAACTGTACTTGTGGTAAAAAGTCAGAAGTACAAATAAAAGTGAATTCCGATTATCGACCCCGTCTGGGGTAGATAGATGAATACGCGTTTCCTAGTATCCTCATCACCTCAGGATGGATTCTTTATGGTGCATAAACGGAATAACCCGGCGTGAGTTTTGGTAACGTAGTCACTATAATGCTGCGTCGCAATGTTGAACAGTGCGGACAGACCAACATTAATTAATGTTTAGAGTTTTACGACGAAATAAAGAAACAACAAATTACCAGCGATCATTTTATTTATCATAAATTGTTGCGTTTACGAGACAATATAGTACAAAATCAAATGGCATCATTTGTTATCTTTACGAAATCAGAACCCTTAAGTACTACGTCATTTTGTTATTATTTTTAACAGTCGCTACTCCTTCGTTTGAATGTTGAGATTCGTCTTTTTCAGCTTGTGCTAGAAGAGTCAATCTATCAAGAGGATTCCAGGGTTCGTGGAATGCATATTTATACTTATTCTTTCCGTGGTAACCAAGTCGGGGTAATACTTCCTGGCCCACTTCAACATTCAACCTCTGCGCCATATCCAAACACTTTTATTTCCAATTATCTGGATGGACAATATGAGAGTTATGAAATAAATTTTGGATCATGTTGGAAGGCATGTCAAATTTAAGGTTGCTTTTCGTTTTAAATCCCTCCGCCACTTGTATATCTTCGTTGGGAACTTCCTGTCAAAGAAATAACGTTTAGTTCAACGAAGAGCTCTGCTTTAGTGCGTTGGACGAAATTCAAAAAATTCGAACTTAGAGTTTACCATTTCGTGCTATTCTCATTTTTGGGATTGTGTCTTAATGTAATCTGACACCGATCATCGAGACATCGCTGTCTGACTTTTCTTTCTTCCGCCTTCCAAACATATTTTTTAGCATCTCTAAAAATCCTTTTGGTTTTTCCTCTTTTTCACTGCCTTGTTCTTCTAGATTGGGTTGTTCGCTCGTGCGTTGATTAGGGGGGTAACCTTGTTGTTGGCCAGGAGTCACGAACACGAATCCAGTCCACTGATGAAGAAAGCACAAGCTGGATTTCATTAGATACTTAATTCGACGTAAGGGCTCTGATTTCGTCTAACGCACTATAACGAAATCTTTGAAATCCTCAAAATGAATAGATATGAGTAAGTACGTAAACGAAATAAAGTAACGAACTGTTATTTAAGCTCTAGGAATAGCAAAAATTTTCAAATGCCGTAAGAGATATTATCCTGTAAGTGATGACAGAAGGAAATGCTGCAGAGGATGGGTATCAGCATTTTCCTGATGACTCAAAATAAAGAAATTGTGGTTGCAAACTCGTCTACCAAGCGTGCCGCCTATTGCAAATAGTCTACCCTATGAGGGAGGCACTGCAACTACGGGGAGGCCTATATTCAACAGTAGACAATACACTGTACTGATGATAATGATGATGATGATTGTATAATCATCAGCGTAAGCTGAAATCGACTTCATATTTTGTTTAATGGCTTGTGGGAATTTTTCTAAACAACAAAAAAGTAATCGTAATATTAAATGCAATTCAATCGAGTCAAAAAGTCAACCAAATACCTTTGCGTTACTAGGCGGAAGTGGTGGCACAACGACTTCTGGTGTTCTAATTTTGTATGGATCGTAATTAGGCGGTTGCGGCTGTTGTGGGCCATTGCAGCGGCATGTTTGCATCTTGGAATCACCCTTGGGCCAATTTGCGACTGTTCTACCTTCGGTTTGGGAAATATCTTTGCAGCAAGTGTCTTTATTCTTAGAGTAGTTTTTGTAGTGTCCTAAAACACACCGGGATTAAATACAAACGCTTACATTGACAGCATCGTATATACATGGTGCAGCCACGCTGAAGCTATACTCGTATTATAGTTGTAGCACGAATGGATCGGCTCGATCGGGGAGTACAACGTTCTCAGTGAACACCAGTGTAAAATAGCAGTTTATGTTGCTGTATTTCGTACAGGGGCATCATCATTTACCATCCACTTACCATTAGTTGAACTGTTTGCCCGTTAGTCATGTTTATTCTATAAAAAATCGATAATAACACATGTTCGTAACAGTAAACACTTCACTAAATAAGTTATAATAATTATAGTCATTATAATGAATGTATTTAATTGTGCGGTCTGGATTCAAGGCAGTAGAATTTTACCGGTACGAAGAAATCAATAAAAATACGTGCTCTAGCCGACGACTATACTTCGATTGGAGGGATCTTATTTCATTTTAATTTATAAGCTAAAACCAAACGCACTTTTTTAACTTATATTTTTAAAATTAAATACAAATTATCAAATCATAAAATTACGTTTTATTTCAATATTTTCCCATATTCACCACGCTAGACAAGCGTGATATTTAGCGCAGTCAAAAACGTTATGGTATCCTCATCACCACTGCAGGATTTGCATGAGCAGTAATAATTGGTTTTCTATTACACTGTCGAAGCTGCCCCATGCAGACCGAGAGTAAATATATCTAGAGAGTTCTTTGCTTTAGGTAGAAGTGGTTTACCAGCACAAGACAAAAGCATAAAAAGTTACAGCCTAAACAACCCCACAGCTCGCCACAGGCCCCCTGTAAGTTCAGAGATGATTTTTGGAGCAGTAAATTTCTTTAGACATGCAGATTTCCTCACGATGTTATCCTTAGCAACTTTGCACGTGGTAAATCAGCATTTGAAATTACAATTAACAACTTCATTGACGTCTAGTGCTTAGCCTCTGAGTTACAACGGCTTCTAATATTAAAGCATGAACATTTACATAAAACATATTTATTGATACGAAAACAAAGTGTATTTACCAGCTCCAGTCATGACAAGTCCAACATTTTGATTGCTAAGCCCCAAGATATTGTTAAAGTTCCTTATAGTGCTGTAATATCTTAAGGTTCGCATTTTGAAAGATATATTTTTCATATACTAATAATTTTAATTTGTGTATGTATTGATATTAAAATTGATTACATTATTTTTGAGAAATAAAATTTAGATTGTGGTTAAAATGAACGCTTTATGACGTATAATTAGAAAATGGAATTGATGTAATATGAAGGTATTTTTTTCTTCTGTGCTAATAGGCCGTTTAATACAGCCTCTTTGTAATTATGTCATATGATATTTTTGCAGATATATCGTGGGGAAGGAGGATGAATAATTGGACTTAAAAATTGTGTATATATGTACTCATACCATCACATAATCAGCATAAGATTAAAGTTTAGATCCATGAGGTCCAGGATAGCCGCATTTGGGGATCAAGTTATTTTTACACTGTGATATAATTGTTATTTTATATATTTACCTACCTTTGTACATTCTTAAATGTCGGCTGTTGCCGACAGTGGCGTGTCTCTCTTTTTTTATCTAACCTTCTAGGCCCTCTCGGTAGTGTTGTCAGTAAAAGTGTCTTCAACGCGGGTTGTTAGTTATAAGGCTGTACTTAATTTTTTTAATAATATGAACATTTATTAATTATTGGTTTTCTTTGTCATATTACTCTTATGAAACAGTTGATGGACGGCAGTATCTTCCTAATAACAATTCAAAATAATAAAAAACTGCGGTTGCCCAGCGGGCTAATGTCGAATATATCCCCCCCCACTATGAGGCAATTTATGGGGAGGCTATGTTTAGTTGTAGACTTTTGATAGGCTGTAGCGGTAACGGTGACAAATTAAAGAAGAAAAAAAAAGAAAGGAGCGCTTAGAGACCCACAACTTATATCCATCCACGGTGAAGAATCAAGATAAACTACGGATTGCACATTTTACTAAAAAACCTACGGTTGAAGATGTAGCAGTGAACTATAGCCATAGTAGCGATCATAATAGATCTTACTGGGCGCAGTAATACTGGTCTATTAGACCAGCAAAGCTGCTCGCACAAAAAATATACCTACGGTTACGGATTCTGTCTGTTTAGGTATACTGGTATGACCTTTTGTACCGTCTGGAAAAAAATAGTAACATGTGAACTGAGTAGAAGCATATCGCACTGATATTTTACAAAAAATAAATACAAATTTTTGAATAAATTAATTAATTAAAATCTATCTAAATTCAAATGAAATCCACCCTACTTTACGAAAGGCAATAAAACAAATTTAGTAGGCATCTTTGACCTTGTCACTTCGCAGGGTCACTGGCTCTAGGGCAAATTATTCAAAAAAAATCTAACGTTTAATTCAAAATTTTTGTTTTTAATTTTTGTAAAATATCAGTTTCACAGACTGCTACTCTGTTCACATATTACATCCCATCTTTTTCCAGACGGTAAAAAAAGGTAATTTAGTAGGTATAACATTCTTACCATTTGTTTCGATTTTTAAAGAGAGATGTTCTCCAATGCCTTCAATCAAAGCTACAGTTCTCCATGAACTGCAGTGGCCACTTACCATTAGATAGGCGGATAACGACGTGCAAAGCGTGGCGATAAAACAAATCCTGCCAAATTGGTGTACGCACAACTATGGACTAATACTATTGGGTCCTTACATGTGAAATTAGAGTTTTTTCGTACTGACCACTTTGACATGAAATATCTCCTCTTTGGTTAAGAATTCCAAATTGGAATTTATAAATTCATTTAGCTGGTATATTTTAGTTTTGAAAACAGTCATTCATTCGTTTTTTCCTCATTAGTTTTTTCTTTGGCGTCGCTTACTACCGCACACTGGAAAACATGAAATATTGCTATATTTACAAGTACAAGTTCTGCCGTGGCACCAGTGCTGCAGAAACAGCTCGAAGAATAAATGATGTGTACGATGCTGGTGTTGCAAAAGAAAGCACGGTACGTTTTTGGTTCAAACGTTTTCGTTCTGGAAATTTCGACCTTCAGAACCAACCCCGTGGACGGCCGGAGACCAAAGTGGAAAAGGAAGAATAATAAACGCTATTGTGGAAGCGGATCCATCACAAAGCACTTCAGAGATAGCCGCAGGCTTCATGGTAAGTGATAAAACTGTATTAATCCACTTGAAGCAAATCGGGAAAGTAAAAAACTTGAACAATGGGTACCTCATGAATTGAGTGAATCGAACTTGCAAACACGCGTCGATGTTGTCGTCTGTGTTACTTTGCTCAACCGACTCAAAAATGAAGGGATTTTAAATCGAATCATTACTTGTGATGAAAATGGATACTGTATGATAATCGGAAGCGCTCGTGAACCCTGGAGACCCAGCCAAATCTACATACATTTTTTAAGCTATTGCATAGCTTCTATCGCGGGCCTTGAGCGTGGGGACCGAATCCAGAAATTTATTCCGCCGTAACGAAAAAACCTCACGCTCCCCACTCCGACGGGCACGGAGGTGTGGCTTGAAGGCCGTGCGTTGTCTAACGATGGTCTAACGTCGTTTCTTTAGCGGCAGTCTTCGACACGGTGTTTGTGTATAAAGTGTTTTGAATATGAATGAACAAAGTGCATTTATTATTTATGAAGAAAGTCACGAAATAATAGTGAAAGAAAATGAGTGAGTACTCTATATACATACATTTTATTATTATCACAAATGCAGTACTTATTTTGAATTAAAAATATAATACTGCTATAAAGATAACCTAAATTTTTGATATTAAAATGAGCGATATTAAAAGTAGCCCTCTTTATATACACACAAACACACACACGATTTAGATTCTCAATATATATATATATATATATATATATATATATATATATTAGAGATGGGCCGAAATTTGGTACAAGAAAAATAATACCTACTTGCACTTATTTTAACTGAAATATAAGGTGCTTCTAAACTACAAAATGCCATGGCTGCAACTGGTGGTTCTACTCATGATACTGTACCACTTTCCCCAAACCCATAGTCAATTCTCAAAAAAAATTGCACTTTGTACGGTAATCGGTCAGCTGATTGGCCAAGTCTCCATACAAACAACCGTGGCATATATTTTAGAAGCACCTTATATAACAACATTAGATACTGTAAAATAAAAGATATTATTTTTACTCACTCATGGTCAATTATTTATTTATTTATTTCGGAACATTGTAAATGTTTTTTTTTTATAGGATAGGGTGACAAACGAGCACACAGTCCACCTGATGGTAAGTGGTTGCTGCGGCCCATGGACATCTACATCTATCTTCCATTACAAATCAAAATGCAGATGCGTTGTCACCCGTGAGGACCGAGATGGAATGCCTCATTTCCAGTAAAAAGGGTCTCCGGTTCTCTACACTCACCATACGAAATACAGCAGCATTAAGCTACTATTTCACGCTGGTATTCTGTGAGAGCGTGGTCCTTCCCCGGTCGAGCCGACCCATTCGTGCTACAACTATACTACTAATATAATTGCAGCATGACTCTACCACGTAAAATGTAAACCTTATATTAAATCAGTTCCTATCTTATCATTAATCTTAATCTTAGTTCTTAACCTTAATCTTAGTTAATTAGTTATTAATCTTAGAAATCCCTGCCTAATTAATAATTAGCCATATTACAAAAATGAAATAAACTTTGTATTCTCCTAGTAAACATCTGGATAGAAGTCCATAAATTAAATAATAAAATAATGTTTTTGATTCAACATTCATTAACCTCAAGTATTTTTTATTACAATTAAAGAGTATTTGTTTTCAACAATCATATTAAACCAACTTTTCTTGTCTATCTAGTCATATTTAAAATTTACCAGAGTCAGGTTATGGTGCAAAAACACCAAAGATCTGCCTTATCTGGCAGAAGTTTGTTTTTTTTTTCGAAGGTATATGTTTCCTGCGGTGTGCCGGCGGGTATTTAAAGTAAATGCGTAAACAAGTCACGACGCGTCGCTCTCGAGAAAGCGTGCGAAAATAAACCGAAGTTCGGCCGAAGTTCGGATTCGGTTCAAATCACATTCGGCCCATCTTTAATATATATATATATATATATATATATATATATATATATATATATATATAATCACAATATTGATTCTACGTCCTTTCATTTCGCATTATTGTAGCGTCCACCACTTGTAAGCAATTTTAATACATTATGACTGCGAATATTGGTCCATTAAACAATTTCAAAGATAGTGTTTAACTCATTCCTTTGAAAATTTACCATATATCGATATACAAATATTCGTATATTGCCAGACGGAGGGAAACCAATCAGGACTCCCTTCCATATTACAAATTATCCAGAATCCCCGTAATATACATAGTTTTTAATTCATTCTCCTGCTTAAGGTGACACTAGTCGACATTATTTCCATAGAAATTTCGGAGGGGTTTTACTCCGCTGTTTGACAGTGTACATCAACAGTACATACAAGTGACAGTTAAACATGATATCGTTTTGTCTCATTATTAATTTTGTCTGTACGGAAACAGAATAGTAAAATAAAAAGTCATTAAAAAGTTACGAGCTATCAAAGATTCGTTTTTATTGCCAATTTTAACACAACTTTGGGCGTAAATTAATACTAAAGGCAGTGTAAAATTTCCAAGACAAAGTCGGTACCGACACAGCTCAATTATCAAAGAATTCAATAAATTTTATTTGTAATTGATTTATGCAGTAGTTTTTTCATAAAACCCCTTCTTCCAAAGGCCTTTTCGTATTTTTTTACGCGCGCGTGTTTATATGAATTATCGTGCATCTCACTGAATAATGTTTCCCCCGGTGCGGTGCGGGAGGACGACACTTACACACACATGCATGTGCGGTGACGGGCGCTTATTCTAGTTTTATTCGACTCAGTCAGCTGCGGCCTGTGACGTTCGTATGACTATAGCTATACCTGCGCTCTAAATTACTACGCTACATTGACCCCTGCTTGAACTTTGGACTTCGATACTACTCTGTTTGGCATAGAAATTGATAATATTGAAAGAGATGTTACGTTTTGCACGGCAGACAAAATTTTAAAATT